GCCTCAGAAAATGCTTCCTGAATGTAGGGATGTACCCACGCACGTTCCGGGGAGATTGAAAGGATGTCCCTACATAAATTTGCAACATTTCAAGAAAGTTGCAGAAGTTCTTTGGATGTTCTGAGAACGTTCTTAGAATCTTGTTAGGATATTTGAATGTTGATTGAATATCCTGGTAATGTTCTATGTCGTTCTCAGAACGTTTTAAGACTATCCCTTTGAAAACATTCCCCGAATGTAGCGATAAGTGCCTGCGCCACATTCTGACAACGTTGATAAAATGTTCTTACGTAAATTTCTAAAATTCCAAGAATGTTGTCTATGTTCTCTTGAACATTCCCGGAATGTTCTCAGAACGTTCTCGTGCTACGTGGGAGGTGCCGCTATTGCAGAACGGAACTGTCAGCGCCGGCACGTAGATTTGTTCGCGCACGCTGCAACGAAGAAGCGTGTTTCCGTTGCTGCACCTTTTCTCCTCTGGCAGGCAGACGATTCTAACAGTTGAAAGTAGGGATGTCGCGAACCACCCTAGGTTCGATTTCGAAAGGTTTCGATATTTGCGAAGCGAACTGAGGTTCGATTTCGAAAACTTTCGATATTTTCGTACCGACCGAGGTTCGATTTCGAAACATTCGCAACTTTTGTCCACAGCGGAGTTTCGAATTCGAAAAGTTCGAAGCTTTCACGGTTTCTAAAATTTCGAATTCGAATATTTCGAATATTTTTTTTTACTTCAGGTTCGATAAATTCGAAGATTTCGAAATTCTTTGTAAAAAAGATTCGAAAACTTCGAACGCTTCGAATTTTTATAGACATGAAGTTCGAACAATTCGAAGATTTCGAATTTCTTTTTCCATAAAGTTCGAAAAGTTCGAAAGTTTCGATTCTCTTTTAAAGCTAAATTCAAAAAAAAATTTCGAAATTTTTGAATTATTTTCTAATCCAAGTTTTCAAAGTTCGAAGTCCGATTTTCAAGTTTTTCCACAGTTTCAGTTTCAAATAACGTTTTCACGACTCACTGGTTTTCACAAAATCAAGTTTAGAAAAGTTAGGGTGTGATATCTAGATTCTGCGAAGTTGGTCAGGCAATTAAATGAGACGACGAGTGTCCCGGATGTGCTAGAATATTTGCCAGTGCAGAATTGTGACCGCCAGCCCCGTGGGGGGGGGGGGGGGGGGGGGGAGGGTCTTTAACCTGCATCAAGCAGTAGTGATTGCACGAACACACTGTTTTACGAGACTCTTCCAGTTCGAAACGGCCAGGGGCGAGCAGGAGGTTGAGGCTCAGAAAAACCGTGAAGCGACCTGGCAAACTAGCTCGCCACCCCTTGCACGCTGGTAGTAATCCGATCCGGTGAAGTTTATAATTGTCCTCGAGGTTTATTTTCTGGGACGGAGGAATCGCCTCGCAAAAAGCACAAAAACCGACACAACTCGAGGTCGAGGAGCGTTCTACCATACAAGTGGCGTCGGAAGAGGAAAAACGGGGGGAAAGAGGGTAGCGGGGGGGGGGGGGGGGGGGGGGGGGAGGGGGAGGGAGGGGCTTCAGCCTCCTTCTTCCCCTTGCAGGTATTTCGGACTGTTAAAGAAAACAATACGGGGAAAGAGGGCGTGGTCGAGCTTATTTTAATCTGAAATTATTCATGCATATGTATAGCTAATGTCGCTCTTCACTGCATAAAAGGTTGCGTATAGATGGTCATTGTTAGAAACTCGTTGTCAGAAGGCACTGCTCGTCACATGCTTAGTGGTTCGGAAGTTCAAAGCTGTCTTTTCGACCTAAACACCTGTGCCGATAGTAACAAAAGAAAAAAAAAATAATAATAAATGCGGGAATAAAAAGCAGGAGAAAAAAAAAAAAAACTATCAAGAATTCGTCGGAAGTGTTCTATTCTTGCATATTCAGAGGTTCAGAACTTCGAAACAAGTTTCTTTTACCAAAGTGTGTACAGGCTAAAAGAAACACGTCCCAGGAACGTGAAACGAAAAAAAAAGAAAAAAGTTTTCTTTTAATGACGTGCTGAACTTGAACACTACTAGAAATCTTCTCCCATGAGTTAATTTATTCCTTAACGTGAAAAAACAATAAATATATTATTTTGTATTCTGCAGATGGCAATGATATGTACTGTCTGTGGTGTTAATTTAAATGCGATACCTCAAACAACTTAGACGAAATAAATATCAAGTTTAGGTCATAATTGCATGCAGATACATGTTTGGACATTTCTTCGAAACTCACGTTGAATAACAATAATCACATCTTAAAACGGCACTTACCTAGGCTATACATAGATCATTCTTAAAAAAGTATATCTTATCTACCATGAATAGCTCCGGCTGCAGCGTGCTTCAAATCTGGCACAAACGATAATCGTCAAAAACCCGTCGTCCTTCCTCGCCCCTTCGGGGATTTATTTCTTTAAACCTAAGCATGCCAGAACATTGAAATAAACGACATTGTCTTTCGTAAGGAACGCAGCACCGCGTGTAAAAGGAGAAAAAAAAATTACGAATGTACCCCACTACTTGAAATCAAATGAAACCGTCCGCCGGTCTTTCGAAGTTCGACGAACGTCGAACTTTTACCCTAAAAGTTCGAAGTTCGTCGACCTTCTGACTTTTCAGAGTTCGAAAGTTCGAAACTTTTCGAATTCTCTTGATAAATAAGTTCGAAAGTTCGCAATTTATCGAATTTTTTGGTCAGTCAAGTTCGAAAGTTCGACAAGCATCGAACCTTGCAGCGCAATAAATTCGAGAGTTCGAAAAAGATCGAATTTTTTAGCGTAATAAGGTCGACGGTTCGAAAAGCGTCGAACTTCTTAGCTTAACAAGGTCGAAAATTCGACCTCCGTCGAATTTTACGATATAGACAATTCGAAAAATCGAAATCTTTCGAACCTTTCGAACCGCTTGATTCGATCATCGAAACTTCGATTCGAAAAAAGTTCGCGGCATCCCTAGTTAAAAGCATGGGTGTCGCGAACCGGCCGAGGTTCGAGTTCGACCAGGTTCGACTTTTTCTACCTTTTAGTGGAAATTTCGACGAACCTTGTGTTGAGGTTCGACTCGTGTGCGCATGCGCGACAGGCTGGCCAGTTGGCTTCGGATTGGATGGTGATGGCTAAGGGATGAATTAAGGGCACCACTGATTGGTTATTTCCACTGATCTCAATGACAATTGCTGGATCGCGCTTGCCGCTCCCGCAAGTGAAGCCACCGGACTTCACTCGCTTGGGATACGATTTGCCGTTTTTGCTAGCCTTTGCTGCGGTTTTCCAGCGTGCTGTGGACACGTTTTCTACTCGTTCGTCGTCATTCGCCGAAGAAGTTTTTTGAAGACTCTGTGAATTGTTGAGACTTGCCGTCGTGAACACGTGGAAAATTTTACGAAAGTGCATTGTCGCAGGAAAAAGGCACAACGCGTCGAAAGGAAGGGCTGGCGGCGTGTTCAAAGCTTCCTTGGCACGCCGAAGTGCCGTGTCTCTGTGCCTTCGCACGCTTGGATACCGACCAAGAATCGACGCCGTGTGGATGTGTTTTGCGAGTGCAATGTGCGTGAAGCCGTATCAAAAGGTACAACTCGTCGAAAACAAGTGTCGCCGGTGTCGCGGCGTGATCAAAGCTTCCTTGGCACGCCGAGTGATGCATCTTTGTGCCTTCGCACGCTTGGATACCGGTCAAGAATTGACGCCGCGCCAAAGTTCTGAACGTGTGTCGCGCGTAGAAGCCTTTAGATCATTTATATATATCGGCCACGGAGTTCTGGATTGTCCAGCTGTTCCGGTGAGTTGCTATCAATAAAAGGGAGAGATCTGTACGTGTTCTTATGTACTATATTAACCATGGCTATGTCCCAAATCTACTCTAATAGATTCCGTGGGAGCACGAATAGGGCAACGTTGTGGAGCCAGGGGGGTTTTCGAAAGCAAAAGTACAAGACGGCGAGAATGAAAATCTTTGAAGCGCGGCCGATATGGTCGTGTGCAATCTGCTGACCAATTACAATTAGGCGAGCCGCGCTCAAACGTCAAGTGCAATTAAGTAGGTTGATAATAAGCCAGCACTGATCAGTGATGAGGAGCTGTTGTGCACGGTATTGTGTAAATCGTCTAAGGACGAAAAAAAGACGTACCTTCCCCCATCTTCCGTCGCTAGTGGACACTGGATTAAGCTCGTTCCTAAACCGCGAGGGGAAAAGACGCTGATCCAGAGGCACGAACAGCTTCACGCGCATTGCACTCGCTAGACACATACACACGGCGTCGGTTTTTGGTCGGTATCTAAGCGTGCGAAGGCACAGAGACACGGCACTTCGGCGTGCCAAGGAAGCTTTGAACACGCCGCCAGCCCTTCCTTTCGACGCGTTGTGCCTTTTTCCTGCGACACTGCACTTCCGTAAAATTTTCCACGTGTTCACAACGGCAAGTCTCAACAATACACAGAGTCTTCAAAAAACTTCTTCGTCGAATGACGACGAACGAGTAGAAAACGTGTCCACAGCACGCTGGAAAACCGCAGCAAAGGCTAGCAAAAACGGCAAATCGTATCCCAAGCGAGTGAAGTCCGGTGGCTTCACTTGCGCTGCAGCGAACAAGCGGGGAAGCGCGATCCAGCAATTGTCATAGAGATCAGTGGTTATTTCAGTTAATACAGTACAAAACAAATTATGTTATTAACTTTTTTACTGATTAGATTCGGTTTCTTTTAATTGCAACTGTTCATAAAATATAATGCTGAAAGGTCCCTTGCCATGTTCGTACACGCTCACTTCGTAATTTTGGCTTCGGTGAACTCTGGCGTGGCCTGACAGATTTCTATTCAGAACATAAGAAAATCTTCCTTTCAGATGACATCGATATTATAATTAAAACAAAAAAACAAAAAAAAATATGGTAAAAAGTTTAGTTTGCGTTGTGTTTTGGATCTAACGGTTTTCGGGATTTCGACTGCGGGTTTTCAATTTTTGAGTTGGCCACACTGGTTGCAAATGTTTTCTTCCTTCGTGGCGCGTTGCGTTGGTGTAGTGCGAGCGTTTGCGTGCCGTTAAACGGCGTAATCTAAAGCAGTGCAAAAACGAGCTCTGAAAGCTTCTCAGAACGCATTCGATCAACCGGATCAACCGGTGTATTACGCTATCATTGCGCCACTAGGTCGTCTTTGTGTGCACTACGAATTTGATGTCCCGAGTTCCAACGAGTTAGGCCTAGGCCTACCGACATGTTCGGAGATGTTTAGCCTAGTTATGTCTTAGTTTAGCCAAGTGTCACTCGTCTATTTACTCGTGCACGAGTGCGGTGCGAGCAGTAGAGCGTGCTTTCAGTTGCATCGGGGACCACAATGAGCAAGAGCTGTCTGGCAGTAGCGGCGGAGGCCGCGGAACGAGTCAACGCCATGCTCGTTGCCAAAGGCAAGCTGAAGGTGAGACGGCACGTTTCGATATGCCGGCGGCGTCTGCACCCAGTAAATACTAACTTAACGGTTACCCGACCGGACGGCAGTGTTGACTTTGCCGCACCTTGTCACAGACTGCAGCGAAGGCTACAAGCGGGGACGCGTAGTTCGCCGGTCCCGCAGCGCTAGCGTTCGTGGTGCCGACGTTCGGACGAAGGAGCTTGCGCTTGTAGACTTTGCTGTAGTCCACGCTCGAAACCGACAGAGTGCAAGTTATATTTACGTTTATGATGACGCAGTGTGCTCATGTACACTTTAACTTCTTAACGGGACTTGCGTAGTCTTCCAGCCGATGCAGTCGCTTTGGAGAGAGCGACATTGCCAACAAATTGTTGAGGTAGAGTTGAAGCGGGGTCCTGGAGACCTTGCATCTTTACGGACGCTAATAATTAGTACACGAAGAAGAGACACCTACCTTGTTATATATACATTTAGGGAGAGAACAGAAATGGACGGATAGGTGCGAGAGTTACGGGAGTCATGTCTGTCTGTCACTGCTCTCTCTCTAAATTCGTGTACCGTCTGACCAACCCGCTTGTCCTGATTATGAGGTAGCTTGTTTAGGGCCTCTTTTTGAGAAACGGATGGAGGCTATGAGCACGTTGAAACAGCGAATAGAGAGAGGTATTTGGCTTTGCGTCTCCCTGAGAATCCCTGCACACTTTCGTCTCCTCTCCCTCAGTTTTATTTGTAGTCAGTTTGCACGTCAAGAATAGGACGCTCCTCCCACAAAGCCCTCCACCCTTCCCACTGGAGAGGAGGAGAGTCCCTCGTTGCCTCCTCTCCAGCATTCCCTCAGTTAAAGTGGAAAAAAGTGGAGGGTTTTGTGGAAGGAGCTGCACCTGGATTTTTTAACCGGCTATAGCCGAGACGTGCCCGCTTGCAGATCAACGGCTGCACGGGCCGCAGTTCAGGGGACCTGTTCACCACGGAGGTGGAGATAAACGACGCTCCGCTGGCTGCACGGAACATCCTCACCAAGGGTGTCTTCCAGGACGAGGTAGCACACCCGGAAGTCCGTGGGTTTTAGGCGTTGGCTCAGACTCGCCGCCTGTGCGTTGTCTTGCAGATCTGCCGGACAACGAACGCCGTCATGTCGACGAGAGGCCGCTACATGAATGCGGTAGACAAAGCTGGCGCTGGATCGGGGTAAGGGGCTGTTTCGTCCGCCTGCCCACTTGCTGCTTGCCTTTAGTCCGGGGTGTCGGCAATACGAGCCCAAGATTGTCTCGTGTAATGTGCTACTTTGTTTTACCTAGCATTGATGTGGAGCTCTCGAGTGAGGAGAGCAACGGTTCCGGCACGGGGGGGGGGGGGGGGTGTACGTCTGCTTTTACGGGGGATTCAGACTTTTGGATTTGAGCATAACCGACAGCGTCACGACTCGTCACACTTCGTTTTACTGTCTGGGCAGCGAAGTTTAGTTTGACAACAAGCATCTCCTTGTGTGGTATTTTCGCAAGCCTGGAACAGCCTGAGCCGCAATCGTTGGACCCAGTCTCGAGCTCGGGACGTCGGTGTGCCATGCCGAACTGTGACGCATTGCGTGTGCTCAATCATTCAGTGGCATAACCTTTGTAATGTGGCCCTTTTTCGCCACTGGCTACGCCGGCTAACGGCCGGCGTAACCAGTGGCGTTAGCCGGCGTAGCCAGTTCGCTACAATATGGTTGCCGTAGCAACCGCCCGTGGTGAACCGTTGCAAGATGTCGGGATGCGTTTGGTAACGCTTGGACACGAATGTCCGAACCGGCCTTTATGTGGTGTCTTGTGAATTTGGTCAAAACTACAAGCGTCAAAGGCCCAGAAATTTAGCTTGCCTAACTTGGAAGCTTGCATTGTCAGTGATGTGATTGCTGCGCCAATTGCGCTATACTGCGCCAAGGGGCTAACCCTGCTACATACTGCTACATTTTGCTAAATATGGGTAATCTGCGCCAAGCCTGCACCAAAAAACCAATTTCGGTCGCCTTTCAAAACTGAAACTAAACTGAGTTCCGTAATTAAGCATGCATGTGTTATGTGGCGCAAGCGCCCGCCCGACACAAAGTTACCTACATCACTTGTCCATCCCGTCTTGCATGGTTTTCTCGGCGTCCCGCGTTTCGCGCTTTCGTCGTCTTGCAGATCTCTTGTCTTTTTTAAAAATATTTTCAACGATGGACCCGGGTTTGTGCGGTAGCTCCGACACTAGCGTGCGGGGGTACCAGCCACGCGGTCGTGCTGTGAAAGGAGACCACGTTCTTGCGCGGCGGGAGTTACTTTGTGAGCTGAAGCACTCACTCCTGAAAGCAACGGCGTGGAAAAACTATATTTGGTTCCTGCCTTCCAGTCACCATGGTCGCGCGACGTCAGGTGTTGCCGTCCCAACGTCGCTGTAGATATGGCGCTTTCTAAAATGCAACTAAGTACCGCCGCATGTTCATCAACATTCCTGTTCTTGTTTAAATCATATTTTACTACAGAATTCCCTCCTTAAAGGGGCAGTGCAACGATTTTCAGACTTTTGCCAATTAACTGCGGAAATTAATCTGCGTCACCTATGGAACGAAAAAGCGAAAGCCGCATTTTCTTGCGAGCGCTAGTTCTTAATAAAAATGAAAACAAGTCGAAGGTCGAAGTGCCTCTCAACTCTCCACGCCGACTTTCGAGTGACGTCTCTGGGGGTTCACGTGATTTCCCCTTGGGCTCTCTCTTCAGAGACCCCAGCCACTTCCTCCGCGATTGTCGACTTTCAAAGGATTATCTTCGTCGAAGGTCGCGGCGAGCGATGGGCACAAAGGGCGGTTTGCCACGGTGCTGACGGCGAGTATAGCAGCGGGGGGGGGGGGGGGGGGGGGGGCAGGGTTTGTTGACTTTCGCATATCCGCCAGAGGCGCCATCATTTTAGTTCCCGTAGCCGCCACTGGCGGCTGCAGATCGGCAAGTAATTCGTTTTTGCCTAGCAATTACTCAACAGAATAGCCGTTTTTCGGGGAAAGTTGACGCGTTTTTTGTCACTTGGGCTTGTATGAACAATATAACAAATGCAAACTGGCAATTTCAACATTAAAACCGTTGTACTGCCCTTTTAACTCAGACTGCTGTTTCAAAGTATTGATTACCTAGGTTTTTCTCGGTGGGCTTACTTTCGAGAGGGACGCCGGTACATGAAAAATCTACTGCGAAAGAAAGTTGGTAAAGAGAAGTGAGCTAAACCAAAGAAGGCAAATTTCTGCACACTGAGCCCGCACAGCGCGCTCGTTTGTCTCGCGTTCAGTCGTTGCACGAAGCGCCCAACATCTTTTTGACCCTGGCTTGCAATGTCTTGCGACGATGCACTGAGGTTCTCTTTTTCTTTTTTTTTTGTGTGTGTGTGTGTGCGTGTGTTTGTGCCTTGTTCGCCGGCCTGGCAAGCCCGCGCCACGGGACTGCTTTTTGTCGTATGATCGACAGTTACATTTTGCATGCAGTTTGGGGAATCGGTTGGCGACGGCGCGTAGTGGCATGGTTTCGGTTTTGATCCAACAGGCGTTGTCTCAGCTCGTGCGACGAAGCATGTGCAATTGCAAGCCTGCCGAAGTTTCTCTCACGTGCATGCAAACATGATTGAAAGACAGAGAAACCAGTCGGGACGCTTGCAATTCATTGTTTTCCGTTCGCTTACCTTTGACGAAAATGTGGCATGTTGGGAACCAGTAAAACGGTGGCAAGCGGTTTTTCGGAATTGCTCGGCAATGCCTACAGCACTGTACACTTGTGAGATGTCTCAGCAGTAAAAACACTAGCAGCAGGTTCCGTCGCAACACGTCACATCAGAACGCAAGACAGCACAAAGTGCCCTTCATTTGTACAGCACTTATAACAAATATTTTTAATTTTTTAAGAATATATGCTCCAAAAGCCACCTTTGCTGCTCCAAAACACTGTCTTGGCTGCTCCAAAACACTGTTTTGGTTGCTCCAAAGGCCACATCCAAAACACTGTTTTGGCTGCTCCGAAAGGTGCTCCAAAATGACTTAGGCCAATCACATCACTGCATTGTGAAGTAGGCATAAGATGGGTCTCATTATTGTGGGAGTAGGGTGTGGTCGGCTAGCCTTCACTGATATTTTAGCCACATTTTGTAAATATATTTTTTTTATATTTAGGGACCGGGCTTTGTACCTGCACATCCAGGCATCTACTGTGGATGCTATTGAACGTGAGTATTTGTTTAAATAGGATGCGTTTGAAGCTGCAATATTGCCAGTTTCAGCAGTCTGTACCTGTAGGACTGCATAGTAGTGCATAATCTAAATTACACAACACTATTTAGAAGTGTCCATCCTTGTGCCTTGTTCCTATCCAATAAATATGTAGGTTTTCTGTTTTTCTGAATTTTGCACTTAAAAGTAAACTGGGGCGGTTCTGTATTTGAGAAGAAAACACTTAGATCGTCTTCATTTGGCTGACAGGATCGTGAATATCGAGATTATTTCTTAATTCGGTGCACGGAGGCTGTAGGAAATTATTATCAAAGTATCGCAGGAGTGTGACGTCGTATTAAGAGGTTTCAGAATATCCGCTTGTGCGCATCTTCAGCGTCTATCAAAGCAATGCACTCGCACTCTTGCTGCTTTCAAAAAGGTCAGAAAACGACGTCGTGGCTGGTGTCAGTAAGGGGAATATAGCTGGCAAGCTTGCAATTGCATGCGCTGCACACACGAGCAACATGCGCTTGGTGGCCGAAAGGTCCTAGCATGACGCTAGGACTGGTTGGAGGTTTTTGTGTCTTTTGGCACTTAGTTACATATTCGGCGAAAACGAAGTTGATATACATATTTACGGTATAAAAAGTCACAAGAATTCACCTCTAACTCTATTTGAAAAATTGTGAACCAACCAAGCTCAGTGCAAAGTGTCTGCGCTTCAGCATTTGTTAAAAATCGTTTGTATCAACTACATAGCTCTTTTTCACTATGTAGAGAATGCTACTTGTCAGTTTGGTAGCTTGGCTTTTGCAGCAGTTGGAATGTTGCAAGGCGTTTGTCAACTTCTCGGTGAAGATTTCTTTATAAAAGCAGAAACCCATGACATCTTTCTCGTGCATTGGAAAAACCTGGGTGAACGAACTGGAAAGAAAGCACCCTCTTGCCGCTAAACGCGCGCACCGACTTTCCTAGTGTTGTAGTTTATTTAGTGGGGAAAAACAAAAGGTTTGCTGGAAGAAATCCTAGTCTCATTGCATGTGTAGGCCAGGTTGTTGCATTGTGCCCCAACATCGGTTCACAGTCAGTATCCCTTCAACCCGGCGAAGCAGTTCCCTCCGAGGTCGAGGGCGATTGCAGGGAGCCCGCGTATTGCGAGGTTAGCGGAGACCGTGCCCGCGTGACGAGCACCTACCTCTCCGGCCACGTTCAAAAAATTTGCTCGATCTTGCTGCATCCAGCGTCGCTCAATCTGCCGTCCTCCGGAAGTAACTCGGAGCACCTCGGTTCTACTCCGCCGAGACATGAAACACGGCCTCTCCATTTTTGGGTCGGGTGCTGCGCAGGAGCCATGGCCCGGATCAACATGGTGATCCGGGAGCACACGAAAGACGACCCTAACTTTGCGGCGTCAGAGCCCACGACCACTGAGCTGGTTCAGGTGCAGCTGGCCGAGACCAACGCCATGGCCGCTGCAGCCCTCTCCCTGCTCACTGCCCAGGCGGCGGCCACTGGGGTGAGCCATCGCACGCTTTTTTCCGAACGCCGTCCTTCGTTTGTGTCGCCTCTCGGAATGCATCTCGGACTGGTGTGTCCGGCGTGGGTGCGTCACTACGCCCAACGACTTCGTCGTGACGTGTTGCGGCGACGTGACTACTACGAATTGACGCGTGACTGCTCATTTTTAGGACGCTGCAAGCACACCAGTCGCAGTGATGGGATTGCTGTGCCAGTTGCGCCAAGGGGCTAACCCTGCTACATCCTGCTACATTTTACCAAAATAAGGGTAATCTGTGCCAAGCCTGCACCAAAAGAACGATTTCGTTCGCCTTTCAAAACCGAAACTAAACTGAGTACTGTAATTGAGCATGCGTGTATTATGTGGCACAAGCAGCCGCCCGACACAAAGTACCCTGCATCAATAATACATCCGTGTGCGGACGGTCCGACGCTAGCTTGCTGGGTACCAGCCATGCCGTCATGCTGTGAAACGAAGCCACGTTTTTGCGCGGTGAGTGTTCCTTCGAGCTGAAGCACTCGCTACTGAAAGCAACGGCCGTGGGAAAACTATATTTGGTCCCTGCCTTCCAGTCACTGTGGCTGCGCGATGTGGGGTGTTGCCCTCCCCACTTCACTGCAGATATGGTGCTTTTTAAATAACTGCCGCATGTTCATCAACATTCCTGTTCTTGTTTAAAGGGACAATGAAGACGATTTAGTTTAATTTTTTTAAATGGTGTTTTTATGCTTCTTGGGAACATAGCATGCTGCCCAATTTTTTGTAGCCATTTGTGATGCGTATTTCTGTGCCTACGAAAGAAGTAAAGAAACCGAAACTGAACAATTTCCATTTTCATTTCTGGGCCTCCAAAAACGGAGGTGACGTAGGAGTGACGTCAAGTGTGAATAGTCGGTATCGGTAGTATTTAGAAGATCGAGATTCTGGTTACCGCGGTGGGTTATAGCGGCGCGGTCGTTTCGTCGAATCTGTCAATATGGACGGCAATGCCGCTCTCGCGAGCGAGTTTGAGCTTCCGTTCAGTAACCCAACACACACGGAACGGGAGTACGTGTGTGGCGGCCTCCGCCGTCACCCTAGGGAGACCGCCCAGCCGGTAACGACGGTAACGAGCTGCCCGCATGCTGAAGTGCCCATAGTTGCTCTTTGGCCGTTTCGCGTCCAGCGTAGCAAAGAAAAAAACAATTATGCTGCTTTATTTACGGGTAAGTAAACCTCTCCGGTCCGATTGATACTTTTCATGGTTATTTAAGCGGAAATTAGAACAGTATTACTAAAAATCGCGAACCGAAACGTGACCGAGGTCGCGCCTCGTTTCGACCAATCGCTGAGGCGTCTCTTGTGATGTCGCGCTTCTTGGCCTCACATCGGTCACGTGAGCTCCGCTTCTCCTGGCTTCTCCCTCAACTCTCGGGGCGTCGCCCCAGTCAATCCCGGTGCGATTATTACTGCGACTGTTTTATTGATTTGTGCGGCACACAAGCGCCGGTTTCGGCTGAATTTTGGGCAACGTGGCCTGAGACGTGCCTGGAACCCAGTTCGGTCGCCAAAAAGCTGTCCGAAATTGCCTTCATTGTCCTTTTAAATCATACGTTACTACAAAAATCCCTCTTTTACTCGGACTGCTGTGTCGTATTGATTACCTAGGTTTCTCTCGGTGGGCTTGCTTTCGAGAGGGACCCTGGTAGGTGAAAAATCTCCTCTGAAAGAATGTTGGTGAAGAGAAGTGAGCTAAAGTAATGAAGGCTATGTCTGCACACTGAGCCCGTACAGCGCGCTTGTTTGTCTTGAGTTCAGTCGTTGCACAAAGCACCCTAAGAACTTTTTGACCCTGGCTCGCAATGTCTTGCATCAATAAGCTCAAAATCTATTTTCTTTTTCTAATGTTTATATTTTGTTTGCCGTTTTGTCAAGCATGCGCCGCTGGAATGTTTTTTATCATATGCTCGACAGTTACATTTTGCATACAATTTTGGGAATCTGTCGGCAACGGGGCAGAGTGGCATGGTTTCGGCTTCGATCGAACAGCCGTTGTCTCCGCTCGCGTGACAAAGCATGCGTGACCGCAAGCCTGCCGAAGTTGCCATCACGTGCATGCGAACGTGATCGCACGACAGATGCACCAGCCGGGATGCTTGCGATCCATTGTTTCATGTTTACATACTTTTGACGAAAATATGACCTGTTGGGAACCAGTAAAATGGCGGCAAGCGGTTTTTCGGAATCGCTCGGCAATGCCTTCAGCACTGTACGCTTGTGGGATGTCTCAGCAGTAAAAACACAACCAGCGAGTTCCGTCACAACACGTCACATCAGAACACAACACAACCCAAAGTGCCCTTCGTTTGTACAGCACCTAAAATGAATATGTTTATTTTTTCTAAGAATATCTGCTTTAAATGTCACTTTTGCTGCTCCGAAACACTGTCTCGGCTGCATCAAAGTCCACTTTTGCTGCTCCAATAAACTGTCTTGGTTGCTCCAAATGCCACATTTGCTGCTCCAAAGCACCGTTTTGGCTGCTCCCAAAGGCGCTCCAAAATGGTTTAGGCCAATCACATCACTGCAGTCGGAGAAACGTCCCAGGCACCGTAGTGCCAGTGTTGCTAGATCGAAGTCTGTTGTCGAGCTTTTCGTGGCGCATTTGCTCGGGGGGGCACTTGCTACGCTATCGGCCCAGCCCATATGGACAAGCAATGGAACTGACAAAGTGTTAGATGCGCATTGCCTCCGATGGAGAGTGATTCCGTCGAGGTTTTTACGGCAAACATAAAGTTTTGCAAATAATCGGCGCCGCCGTTGGCACCAAGATCGCCGTCTATCCGTACTGCTTGTCAGCTGATAGTTATATGTAGGCTGTGTACTTTCCGGTGTTTATTTGTGAGAAAAATCGACGGATGTTTTTCAGTGTTTATTTATTTTCGAAACACCGGTGTATTTCGGTGGAACGTCTCACGACGAGGCTAAAATCGGTGATTATCGGTGGAAAAAAATGCGATTGATCACAGACAGAGAGTTCTAATTTTATTCGCACATTTCATACACTTCTCGAAGAAGCATATATTTCTCACACTTGGTTATTATAGTGGATGCAAGCATACTTCGAGAGGCTTGCATCCGTCATGGCAGCACGTTCCTTGCGGTTCACAACCCGCAATTTTGAAAACACACGCTCCACATTTTCGCTGGACACAGGAAATCCCAAAATGTCCAGCCAGGCTTGGGATAGTAGTGGCCAGTCAGGTAAATGAAGTTTCCAAAATAACACTGGATCAACGGTGCTAGTCACAGCATACTGGCGGTAACAAAGAAACTCTGATTCTAGGTCACTCAGCTAGCTCTCGTCTCGGAGGACCAGCCGATAGATACTTTCATAAGGCACAAATCCCTCAGGCAGCTCCACGTTTATGCACGGATTAACAATTGGCACGCGGAACCAGAACGACGATTCATCCATGAAATCTGTAGCGTAGTCATCCCGAGCTTTCCGCTTACATCCCATCCTGGTGGCCTTCTACTCCGCGTGACGACGAAGGGAAGCAAGTCTCAGGTTGAGAAAACCCGCAGACGCGGGACGGACGCGCCTTCTCAAACACGTCTACAATATTTTTTACAGAACGGTCCTTTTATATACAGCGAAAAACTCCCTCGCCAACAAAACCCTTTTTTTTTCCGCTTCCCCAAAAGCCCATGGAAACTAAACAGATAACAAGGAACGCATCTCAGTTCTGAAAGCTCAGTAGCCCTGTACGACACGGATGTTGGTAGTGTCTTCCAGGAACCACAGCAACCTCTGAATACATGGCTTGCACCGACATTACTTGGCCAGACACAATGGGTAAAAGGCACGTGAGAGCGTACCCTCCGCTGCGTTAATTTTTCCACAAAAGGGGGCCATGGCCGACACGATGGGGGAAAGGCGTGTGAGAGCTTAGCTTTCACTGCGTTAACTAGACGCTTTTCACCCCCAGAAAGGAGGGCGGACTGACGCCACGTGCAAGCCATGTATAGACACTGGAAGAATGCAGGATCCACGAGATAACACGTTTGACGAACCTCTACGGGGAAAGGGTTTCGCTAGGTCGGAAACGTGCAACGACCGGTGTTTTTCGGTTTTAACCAGGGCGAAAATATCCAACCACCGGTGTTTTTCGGTTTTAACCGGTTTTGTATTTTTGTCACCGACAGATGTTTATCGGTGTTTTTCGGTTAAAACCGGAAAATACACACCCTAGTTATATGCAGTTGAACCTCGGTTTAACGAAGTCACCGAGACCCACTAATTATTTCGTTAAATCGGGAACTTCGTCAAATCGAGGAAGGGAGATTTCGCGCATAGGCTATGCGGGGAATCCGAATTTGTTCGTTAAATCGGGAAATTCGTAAAATCAGGTTTCGTAAAATTGAGGTTCAACTGTAGTTTGCTTACGATGCTGTTTTGTAAAGCTTGTCAACTGATCGATCTCGGAACTTTGGTTAGCAGGGGGGGGAGGGGAGGGGAGGGGGAGGGAGGGAGGGAGGGAGGGAGGGAGGGAGGGAGGGAGGGAGAGAGAGAGACTTGCGGTGAATGAATGCACACAAGTCTGCGGGGCTGCCTGGACATTGGTTGTGAACGTAATGAGGCTTCATTTTTACTCCGTCACGGACGACCTCCGATCTTGTGATCTGAGGTCGTGACATTCGTGGAGGTTGTGCATTTGTTGTTCACGGTGTCCATGGTTTAAGTTTTTAAAGTAAAACATTCTCTGGCCAAGCATTCGGCATTTTGTGCAGCCCATAAGTGAAGCATGGATAAAAGAGTGGCCGCATGGCTCAACACCGATTGGTCAAGGTCATGTTACCGGGGGTGGGGTGAGGAGAGGTAGGCAAGATGGGAGAGGAGTGGGTTAGTAGGTTCTGGAAGATCACCAGGTTTATCATTTCAAGCGTACACGTGCCACGCGTTAACTTATCCAATGAAAATTGCTGTGAACGTAGGCATCTGGCTGAACAGTCTAGACATGCTGTTAAATAATGACATAAATGTTTGTGAGGCTAGAATGCTTTGGATGTGCAACCCAATTGCCTAGCAATTTGCCATACATCTTTTTTCTGGGATTTGTTTTTGCATTTTTTTAATTAGTATATTGCTATAAATTATTCCCGACTGAGCTGTTCATTACTCCAAACTGTATTCTGTGTGTGGTCAACCCTTACTGTGTACCTTTGCAGCACCACTACATTCAGGACAAGATATTCGTCGGCCTGGAGCATGCGCCCGTCGGCTTCCCCGTGCGCGACAAGATTCTCGGTCCCGGGGTAAGTGCGGCCCGTTCTCCAGATTTGTCTTGGCAGATTGCTCCCCCTGACCCTCGCTATTCTCAGTGGTGGATCGGCTGTGCCCTTTGCGCCAAACTGCACCAGAACGAAAACCCTGGTACATGCTGACACAGCGATCTCGCGACTCGCTTCGTCGCAGTGCAGCCGCGCACTCAGGTGAAAAACACACCTTTATAGTGTTATAACGCACGTGCGCGTTTGGTGTAATAAAAAAAAGAAAAAAAAAGATATGTGATTGGTGATATTTATATTGCAGTAATATCTTTAAAATTTAACTCGCTTTTATGCAAGAGTGTATGTTAGGCAGCGATGTTTTAACAGCGTTTGTTTATTACCTGTGCTTGTTTTAATTCAGAATTGAAAAAAAAAATTTTATAAAGCAAGATTTTTAAATCACATCAATTAGGTATGGCAGGGCTCCCTTATAGGTTTAATTTTATGTCACATCTGTCATTTACTTCCTTTCCTAATGTAGGCATTGGACTGTCTGAGGCCATAGTCTATAAATATAGCTAGATTAAATTTTTACTGAGCTCATGTGGACAATTAGAAGCATGGGAACAACCTTTGCGAGTCCAGCTGAATTTTTGTTTAAGCATGGTGTAACAGTGGTGAAAGGCATAAAGAAAGGCGCAGCAACTATTCAATATTTGAATAAAAAATATTTGGCCGAAACCACTATTCACCTTGAATTCGCTTCAAACCCAAAATCTATTATTTGCGCATGCCTAGCAAGGAGTTAACGGTTTTTGTGCGATCGATGCTCACATTGATTGCATGAATAGGTAGCGCTACTCGTGATCAGTTAGAGTAGCTATGTGCTCCGCTTAGCTGTTCAAAGGACTTTAACTGGTTGAATACGAGCAAAAGGCAGTGCGAGACACATTCAGTACAAAAGTGTCCGTTTGATGTTGAACTCGCAACATTTACCTCACCGTGATAGAAACCCTACTAGGCTAAAAACATAAGTTTTTACGTTAAACATAAACCGAAGACGCCATCGGTATTCCTAATAATTTAATTGAGACATCTGGAGAAAAAAAGCAGCGTATGATTGTCCAATAAGGAAGGCTCGAAGTTCACCTAAGCACTTCTTATCAGTTGTGAATGCGAAAGCATGCATGGTATTTCTCTGCTTTCTTATTTTGCGTGCTGCATACTTGCGTTGATGGGCGAGCGCGCGATCTCGTTGCCACTCTGACCTTGGGCGCGGAGTCGCTGCCTGGCTTGGTGGCGAGACGCTTCATGTTACTGATGTGCTGGACACGCAGCGCCATGGGGTGGCAATCATTGAAACTGTGTTGTGCAGCGGCCAATGGGAGCCTCATTCCTTGAAACTACATATGACGCGCATCAGCCAATGGGACCGAAGTCAAAATCCTTCATGTTTCGGCTTCACTCCGCTCTTTTGGGATCGGGGAAACTAGGTGCTGTTTTGGGTAGGCTTTTCGCGTGGCTTCAAAGCTGGGAGCCACCAGATCGCGGCTTCACTTGGGGAAAGAAGTTTAGGTGCCATTTGGCGCGGCTTCAAAGCTGATGAATTCGGCTCGCTCCATGGGACAGTTAATGCTCTCGCATTAATAAATAAATATCTGTTGTGGCGACGTCCCCTGTAGGTATGATACCTTAATTAGTCTCCCAACACTTTAACAACTGAAGTTTTTTCCTTAGGCTAACTTTTAAAGAGATTGTATAAAGCTATTTGACTGAAAGCTTGAAATTGTCTGCCCAAAAGTGGGTATCTTTGGTCCGAAACCTGTTGTTCCCTGCTACAAGAGCTGCTCCAATTCACCATTTGTCACAGTTCCACCAGTGCATTCTCACTGCGTAAACAGGTTGGAAATTTCAAATTGGCTGGTTAGTATTGTGCATTCAATAATGACACGACTACTCTTGCATCGCACCAACGAGTGGGGGAAATGGCTTCTTACTGCTTTCTACTGAACCTGTTCCTCCAGTCTTGCTTGTTTGAACATGGTTAAACTCGCCCAAGTTACTACTCTTCTTGCTTGTTTGTTTTGGGGAAACGGCTTCCCTAGTTTTTTTTAGGTGCTAGATAACCAGGTTGTGCCGATGATTGTGTTCCGTAGGGCCAGCTAGTTTGAGATGACAAGCAGATGGCTGCGTCCTGCTCGTTGTGATGCTCGTTGTCCACTTTCCTTTTGTGTTTTTTACTAAAGGTGTATCCACACGACGGACCGGGCCGCGGACCGATTGATCACGTGATGCGCGGCCCGCGAGCCGCCCGGCTGCAATGAGCATCCACACGGCGGACCAAAAGAGCAGACGACAGAGTGAACGGGCCGGTCTAACCCTCGACCTCACAGCTCCGCCAAACGCATGCAGCGAGCTGCTTTGAGGCTATTTGTAAGGAGCCAAGATGGAGGTTGAACGAAAGAGACGTTTGGCCGCGGTGGCCCAGGCGTTGACTACTGAAGACGAGGAGGACTTAAGTGAATCGAAAAAGGCATGGCGACATCTTTAGATGTTTATTTGAGTAGTTGTCGCGACTATTGTCCCACAGAGCGGGGAATTGCTCCACGAGCGCGATGAAGTAAAAAGTTGCATCGTTGCACAACAAAAGGTTTGTCTTCTTCGTCTTCAACAGTTGGTGCCAAAAGAAAACGACTTTGGATTTGGATTCCAATCCAAACAACAAAAGTCAGCTTGTTGCCAGACTTAGCGCTTCGATTATACTAAAAACGTTGCGGTCCGCTGCCAAGGTCCGGGCGAGAAAAGTAGCTTGGCATTTCTCAGAAGCACGGGCCGCGGGCCACCGGCGGACCTCGAAAACCGGTGACGTAAGATCACGTGATGCGCGGCCCGCGTACCAGAACAGCAATTTGGTCCATCGTGTGGATACACCTTAACAAGGGAAACAACTTGTGTCTCTAGCCAAGTTTTCTAGGGGCATGGACCGACTTGAGAGTAGGTGTACTTGAGCAGGTATACTTGCTGCAGGGCTCGTACCTGGACCATATCAAGGGCACCACGGGGGCTAACGTGACTCTGAGGGGCAAGGGGTCCGGCTGCCTGGAGCCCACCTCGGGCAGGGAGGCCTTCGAACCGCTTCACATCCACATCACGTGAGCCATCTTGCCTCCGTACAGTTTCACGACGAAAAACGGCGCAAAAAGGGCCGAACAAACTGAGGGGACGTACGCGACAAGTGGGTGCCGTTTTTTGCTGTGTGTTCCTTTGTGCGTGTTCCTTCCCTTCGTCCAGTTGTTTGTGTGCTGCTTTTCATGACGTTTAGCAGTCGCTAACTTGGCCAACTTACTACTGTAGCACTGTACTCCCCATCATATTATGGTTAGTTCACACACCTGCAACCACTTACAGAAGAAATAAGTTTTTTTTTTATGCACAATATTTTTTTTATAGTGTGGATGGAAAGAAATTTTATTAAAATAAATTTACAACAAAAATTTTTTTTAATCTTTTTAGAGCCATTTTACGGCGCAAAACAAATTTGTAGTAGGTGTCCGTGGCAGCCTGCGGAAAAGTGGCTACCAGCAATCACGTGACTGGAACTGGTCACGTAGTAGGCCTGTGCTGTGCGCTGCTGCTGCTGCTGTAAGTCACGCCGGAGCCATTCAGCTCCACCACCCTCGTGCTGCCACTGCACGCCGAGCGTGGTGTGCGGCTGGCTGAACACATTTGTCTTATTTATACATAGAAAGTAATTTAAAATATTGTTTCAATATTTTATTGTATATTGTCGTTGTCGTTGTTCAATATAGTTCCTGAGCACTCGGGAAGTGCTCGACACAATTGACGTATTGAGGTGGTACACGGGATTGCACGGGCTGCACGATACTGTGCACAAGCACTCTGAACGCTCTAACGCCGTATGACACCGCTGCTTCTGTCTACCGAGGCGCGAGCAAAAGTCGCAGACTACTTTGCCCGCAAAGAAATTTCACTTTCGGAAAGTTTTCCTACGCGTAAAACGCCTTGGAAATATTTTTTGCATGCAAAAGCCGAGTTCTGATTTAGTGAAATTTCAATGCAACAAAGTAAATTAAGAATTTTATTGACTTTGTTACGTGGAGGTTTGACTGTATCTCTATTTAGGGGCAGCACCGAAGCGGGGTTTTTAGATTTTCCTTGATTCCGAGAAAACCACTTTGGGGGTTATTTGTCGGAATTTATCGGTATTTGCCGGAAACACGGGACCCTATAGTCAGTTACAGGTTAAGAAGGTAGCGGCAAATGCCCCTCAAAGGGAATCAGATATCCCTCCGCCACCTCCGCATCCAATAGCGTCCCACCGTTTCCGTGACGTCGCGGCCAACGCGCGAGGAAGAACTTGCCTTTCTGTACATATTTGCTTTATCTTTCGACTTTTACTTAGCATTGTGGAAGGCACGAGAGGGAGATTAGAGTTCTCCCCCACCGACGGAAACCAACACGACTTTCGGGGATTAGCTTCCCCCCCGATGGATACAAAGGCTTCTTTCAGGGGCTCGGTTCCCTCTCTGACAAATACAAAGGTTGCTTCCTTAAAAAGTAAGATTGGAGGCAAGTTGGAATCCATTGAAGCGGAACAAGGAGTGTTTCCAGTGAACTCTTCTTTCGACTGCGGAGAGATTTGAAACGGGCGCATCACGCTTGTGGGTGGAGCTTCTCCTACCTTCTTGACTTGTAACCGACTATAGTTACAAACAACCATTTGACTTGGATAGTATGTTCATTTGATTTCGCAAATACTGCAGCGCCTTCGCTCTAGTGAAATGCGGTTCTTGGGTCACCTCATAGCCGGCGCCAGCATGCTGAGTGTTCTCACATCGTACGAGATTACAAGAACTCGATCAAAGGCAAACGCAAGTGTGTGAATGGGCCTTTAGTGCGAGTTGAAGTTGCTATCGGGTGTGCCGGTGGTTGGTTGTGCCGACCTCTTCCTCGAGGTTCCTGGAAGGGAAGAACTTCAACCTCGCTGTGTTCTTAGATAAGAAAAAGACAAATGCCAAGAAATAATTTTGGTGGGTTTGTGACGGCTGTTGGAGAAAAATGGAGGTGTCTGTTGTCCCTTGCGGAAGGCTTTCGTTAATGAAGTGGGCAGCGTGTTTGTAGGGACTGTGCTTGCATCTTGCGTGTTGCAAATCTGCTGCGCAGTGCTGGCTTTTGGCACTTACCATTATAAAGTGACTGCAACCGTTTGCTCTGTGTCAGGTCCCCGTGAATGCAGCTTCCTCGGAGTTCTCGAGCGCTTTAGTGGGAAGTTGCCCGACCGCCTCTCGTCGCTCGCCTCGAACCGGGATTTTATTTTATTTTTTAGTCGACCGGCATTGTCTCGCCTTATTTTCGTTGGAGCCACGCAGCCGCGCTTTCGAAGCACTGTCATTTGGGAATGCGCTCGTAACCTCTCTCGTGACCTCCAGGCACCCAAACTTGGAGGGACTGCAGGCGGCCAAGTCCCTGGCGATTAGTCTCATTCAGACGGTAAGTGCGGCTACTGCCACCCGCTGTTTGCAAATCTTTTGGGATGCCCCCTTGTTTGCGCTATTGGTGTTCCCCTGGGTGAGTTGGGGCTCACGACGGCTCTAGACGTCTAAAGTTTACTGCAGTTGCTCGCTGTCAGATTTTTCACCCCCATTGCCGAGCGGTCGATCCGTTTGGCTTCGCCTCGAGAGTGGTGTCGTTAACCTCTGGTATTTTGGCATTTTGTTCTGTGGGAGATGGAGCCAATGTTTCCACGTTAGGTAGCACGGGAGTCTCCGTAAGGGCTCTGACCAAAACGATTAAATGGTGTCCTTTTCTTTGTAATAAGTGGCACCCAGATTTCGAAAAAGTGCCTGTAAGCGTGGTGCTACTTTCGGACCAACAGGTGCGGTCCGACTTGAGCTCGAGCCGTTGCACGTCAATGTAGCGAGTGTGCTACCGTTTTACGGTTTTAAAGGATGCAGCCCACTCCTGCAAGTGATGAATGCTTAGGTGCGTGTCGTCAGAAAGTGAAGAGCGGCAAAATGTGAATCTCAGTGGTGTCAAGGGAGGTGAAATAGACTAGGGTTCTCGACAAGAGACTCCACAGCTGTGGCTCGCGAATCGGCCGCTTGGGTGTGAACATTGAAGGTCACTAGTTGCATGTATGTGACTAGCCGGTCGCATAACTGTTCTGAGTCTCGAGTGGGAATGCGTCTTAACTAGCATTTTCTTTATAAGCTAGTGGTCGAATTAGTGAGCATTCTTTAGTAGCCCTGCTCAAACTTTTCTCTCGCTTCCTCTCCTTGTGCGCCGTAAAATTTTGTCTGCTCCGACCCGCGCAGTGGATGCACGGTTGTGGTTAGGGCTTTCTATTTTGTGACGATTTTGTCTTATTTTGTCGCTTTAGGCTCATGCCGACCTGGCAGAGTGGCAGCAACAGCAGTTGGCAAGCTTGACCCTTCACTCTGCCATGGCACTACCGACCACCGCCCAGCGTGAGCTAGTTTTCCGTACCCTGCCGGTCTTTGCGTCTGCACGACTCCCTTTTTGCGTCTTCACCTTACCTATGGTCTGTTGCAGGTTAAAGACTGACCTGCAAAATACTTTTCAACCAGGATGAAAATCCTCTATGCCACCCTCCCCATTTCCTCTTCCCACTGCTCTTTTGATGGCAGTGAGGGGGGATAACTTCATTTGTTACTGCATCTTGGGGCCGGATAAGTCGGGAGCTTATCCCAACTCATCCAGCCCCAAGATGCAGCAATAAAACGAGGGGGAAATGGGAAGTTTGGCGACAAGGAGTTTCACCCTGTTTGAAAAATATTTTGCGGGGCGACCTTTAAGACTAGTGGGACAAGCCCTCCTACAAATTCTTCCACTCTCTCCACTTTAGCAGTGTGGTCATAGGAGAGAAGGGAGTGCAGGAAAAACTACTGTTGCGATCCAGCGAGGCTTTTGTTATAAAACTGTTTATTGTAATACAGCAGGCTGAAGAGGCACAACCTGTTTCTAGGTTGCCAGCTCATAGAAAGCCAACACGCTCGAGCTCGATTTGTCGTCTCTCTGCCGACTACTGCGACGGTTGTCATTTACAGTCGCTGCAACCACCGATTGCGGTGGGCAGGGAGCTTTGCAAGAGGTGTTTGTTCAGCTTTTCCTAACCTGCAACAGTCTCTAGGAACACTTTGTTTCAAAGTCTCGCCTCGCGCTTCGCCGACGGTACTTGGAACAGGTTCTCCCGCTGTGCCCGATGATTACAAACTGCCTTCGCTAGCGGGGTCCTCGAAGCTTGGCGCAGGGTCGTGCCGGCACCCCCTCCGAGCCGGGGGGTGCGGGGGGCGGGGCGTAAGAGGGATGACGGGGGAGGTGCCGGGACCCCTGGCTGCCTTGCTCGGAAGGAAGTGCCGCTGTGCGCGAAGATTATGAGATCTGAGGGCTGCAAGCGTGGATGGACATTCGTGGCTAGGCGGCGTAGGAAGCTTTCTACCTCGCCGATGTAACGTCCACGTTTAGTTTCGTTGACGTGCTCGCGTGTTGTGCGTCATTACGTGGACCGCGCCGTGCCGAAACGCGTTCTCGTTTACCGATGCTCTACCGCGTCGGTATGTTGTTGCACAATTCGCGCTTGTAAATGCCTGTTCACGCATGCTCCGCAGTGCTAACTGAGCACTATTGACAGGGCATTGACCGTAAGCTATATCAGTGCTTTGATTCAGGTACTCCTTTTTTTTTTTGCTTAGACCTGTGACATAGTGCCAATGCAGCACTGAGTCGGGCCTGTCAGTAGCTCTGAGGCTCACTTTTGCACTGACCTTAAAAACATATGCAAAAGAAACAAAATTTTTTTTTTTTTAACAGCCTGGTTGGAACAAGAATGTCATATACTAAATTTAAAACAATTTTTTTTTTTTTTTTTTTCGGGGCTATATTTACGTTGCGATATGAATTTGTAATTCATATCAAATTTGTAACTAGCAGTCACGTGACAGGCTGCTAATCACGTGGTGGTTGCGCTCTTTCGGGAGCTTTCTATGGGCTCTAAAAGTTACTTATTAATCTTTGTTTTTTTGTTGTGCTTATTTTTTTAACAAAATATTTTGATGTTTGAGAACCAACAGGTATAAGAAAATCGTCACTTCCATTTTGAATCGCACGATAAGAAACAAACATTTAGTTATTTTCTGTTTGAAGGGGTACGGTGTCACATGGTTTAGTTTCTGATATTTTGGTTTCCCCAAAGCGATACCGTTACCCGAGAAAGGGCTGCAGTTTTCGTGATCGACGAGCAGCTGCGTCGCTTTGGCGGAACCGACATGTTAGAAAGGAATACATATGATACCGTACCCCTTCGAACAGAAAATGGCGAGGCATTGTACAGGTCAAAACGAAAGTGGTGATTTTCTTATACCTGTTTTTTCTCAAACATCAAAATACTTTATTAAAAGAAGTGCAAAAAAAAAGAAAAAAGGATTGAGCCCATAGGAAGCTCTCGAAAGAGCGCAAGTACCAAGTGACTAGTGGCCAGTCACGTGACTGCTAGCTGCCGCTTTTGCATGGTCTTCCGCCAGCACCAACTACAAATTTGTTTCACGCCGTAAATATAGCTCTAAAAATTTTGTTGTTTTCTTTGTAAATTCTTTTTATGACTTCTTTTTTCCATCTAGGCTGTTAAAAAAAAATTTTTTTTTTTGCATAAATTTTAAAATGTAGCGAGTGTAGAATTATTAAGCTTCCTGTGTTGTCGCAAACCGAATCGCCACGTTTTCGGCATCGTCTTGTACCGGCGGAGTGTAGACCCGTAACGCCAACCTAATTACTTTTACTTCCGCCGTCCTGGTGGGCAGAGTTGGCGCCGTCGGTGATTGCGGGCCTTGGCCAGGTGTTCCAGCCGGTTGCCGCGGCCACCGAGATGCAAGCTCAAGGTGCGTGTCGTCTCGACTTCCGCTTCTGCCGTGCGATTGTCTGCGACGCTGACGCCCATCTTCCTCTGCAGGGATCCTGGTCAGCCCCGGGGTGGTGGGCGGGCAGTCTGCGTCCATCATGCTGCCAATGTCACTTGCATCGACCGTGCCAACCAGTAAGCAAGAACCTGCCTTTTCCACGCGGCGCTGCTTTCTTGCACTTCGATAGTTGGTCGTTTCATGTATGTTCCGGAGCCCTCCAGTTGGTGCTGTACTTACGCCAGCCCCATGTTGGCAGAAAGCCGGGCTTTGCGTCGGACGATTGGTCCCTGTCTTCCATGTGTAAATTATTGGTTCACTGACTAACAGTTGGCAGAGAGGGGGGTTCAACAATGGTTAATGGCTGGCCCGGGGTCAGTTTGGAGTTCGCCTAATGTTGGTGTAAGGCCGTGTTCATACTTAGTACTCATACTGACTGTATAACACTGTTAAAGCTGTAAACATAAGTACTTAGCTTCAACTAGCATTTCGTCTGTGTGAGAGCGTGTGGAAACGAAGCGCAAGATCGAGTCGTACCAGCAGCTTTGGCAGTTCTGTACTCTAAGAATGAGACGGAGTGTAGGTCAGTTTGATTGACATCTCGAGCTTCTCAAAAATAATCCGTCGGTATTTGCATTTATCTTTGCACGATCACATTGGTAGGTTTGGGAGCAATGGAGATAAAGTATGAGCTTTGTGGCCATGGCTTGTTGCGGTACATTTGTGTTTCTGCTCGGGATAGTTGGGCCAAAAATGCGCAAAAATATTATGGAATGTAGCAAATATTGTAGCCAAGGTTGCGAGTGGTACTAAACGACTTTAAATTTTTATGACAATAAAAGTTGATGCATTTTGAAGATTAATTTTTAGGGGCAGGTTCAGAAGTCTGTGGCAATTAGTAATCTTTATTTCTTTCTTGTACATACCCGGTCAAATAGTACAACTTGGATCTGCAGTAGCAAACCACTTAGTAGCTGGGGTGAATATCTCCTTCGATTGTGACAGGAGTTTCATTAAATTATCCAATTGCCTTTGTCAGAGTTGTACAGCTGTATTTCAAACACAATAATCAGATTTGTATTTGTATGTAAAAAAAAGCAAAAAACAAAACAAAGCTATTTTCACTTTTTTGGTACCATGCTTTTTTAATTGCTCTTATCACCGAAATATTTTTATTTCATAACAATCCAGTTCTCACTGCTGTGAAAACTTCTATCCAATCTTAATCTAATTGTAAAGTTATCCACACTGCTTTTTACATTTTTCTAACCGTCTGAAACCTGGCAGGCAGTGTAAAATTTTGCCAACAGAAATCTTGAATATACACTTGTGTACTTGTTTTCCCCTCAGGACAAGAAAGAGGAAGTTTTGTGCATTGTTCGTACGCCATCATGCAAAGTAGTTCTTCCAAGATTTGGTCATTGTAGGAAGGAGCAATGCTTTTGGCATTTGATATGTACATGTCTCGATGAGGTGACATGTACCTAATTTAGAATAGACCTACATATATCTTAGTTTCCCACATAAAAAGGGAAATTAGCAATATTCGTGAGGAGTCAGTCTCTTTTTGCTACAATTCTTGAGGTGAAAACTATAGTGGGCGGGTTCGATCCTAGGCGGTCGAGGAGGCACGCCGGAGCTGAGGGCCGCGGAGGAAACACTGACGCTCCGACTACTCGGCAGAAAAAGCCCCTGTTTATTCATGTAAACCCTTTTTATCTACAACCTAGAGGGCGCCCCATATCTGACTGTGCCAACACGGCCTCTACAAAAACAACTATAGAGACCTGACCTGTCTGTAATTTCTGCCACTGCAGAATAAAAACAAAGCTCAGGTCCCTGTACTTGTTTTCATCTAAAGAACGGTAGTAAAAAAATGTCCGGCTTCTCGCGGACCATTACGACGTATTCACACGACGGAGTTGCTCTCTGAGGAGAGGATTAAACGTCATTGAGTTTTGAGGTCACGTGCTCCGCATCACGGACGTTTGCTAATTTCCCGCGCTTACGGGGAGCCAAGGGGGGATCTGTGACTTGCCTGCAGAATTTTCGTCGTCCCGTCAGAGTGACCAGGCCCCCTTCTTCGTCCCCCTGCTTTGGGGAAGGATTGTGATCAACAGCCTTAAAGTGTGGGGTGCCTTTTTTTTTTATGTGAAATCATTAACTGTCCCATGGAGCAAAGCCGGCATTGTCTGTAACCGTCTGTAACAGAAAAAGACACCTAAATTCCCATTCCCAATAAAACACAAAGACAAGCACAGCAATGCAGATGCTTTGTCACGGAAGCCGGTGTGTGCGCTCAAGGTCAAAGCAAACGTGCGTCAGAAGTAAAACATAAAGAAAAGCACGGCAACGCAATGCTTTGTCCCTGAAGCAGTCGTGAAGCCGGCAGGGTTCACTGTGCGTGCACAGTGGGGGAGCGCCGTGTGCAAAAGGAAGGCAAGGTGGGCTGCTTGTAGGAATGCACTGCATGTAAAAATGTTTTTGCATTCCTACACGTAAGCAATTTTAAGTGTCCCTGCCAAACTTTTTATTCCCTGCCTTTTTTTTTTTGACGAGTCCCCAAAGGTAGTTGACAGGTTCCCCCAAAAATTGTAGAGCCCTTCCACTTCACGTGAAGATGGAGGAGCAGCGAAGCTGTTACCTTTACTACATTTAGAACAATACCTAGAGGACAGCATCTAGAATGACACCAAGGACGACCTCGAGGATAGCATCTAGGACAACCTCAAAGACGACTTCTAGGACGACCTCGAGGACGACTTCTAGGACGACACCAAGGACGACCTCGAGGACGACGCCAAGGACGACCTCCAGGACGACGCCAAGGACGACCTCCAGGACGACCTCCAGGACGACGCCAAGGACGACCTCCAGGACGACGCCAAGGACGACCTCAGGGAAGACTTCTAGGACGCCGCCTAGAGGACGACTTCTAGGACGACCTCAAGGATAGTGTTTAGGACGACCTCAAGGACGTCTTCGAAGACAATGCCTAGGACGGCCTCTCGGACGACTGCTGGAACGACCTCGAGGATGATGCCTAGAGATAACAAGAAATGAGGACCTCACTATTTAATAGTGCCAAGAAAGGCTGACTCATGCTGGTTGCCCCCTCTTTTTGTTTTAATTTATTCATACTTGCCACGATTAATGGGGAGCTTTCTGTCGACATGTGAGGATGCATTTTTTCCCAGACCCTAGCCTATAACAGATTCGCTGTAAAAGAAAGACTCCGGCGACTGAACTAGATGCGGCTCCGTCGTGTGAATGCTCGCTTAAATTTACTGCACTGCCTACTTCTTCTCGTGTCTTTTCCTTCTCGCAACTTGATACTCAGTTTTCTCCGGAGATAAAGATTTCTTGTGCGAATACACCATTACAGTAGAACCTCTTTGTAGTCAACCTTTTGGGACCAGGCAGTAATTTTACTGTATCAGGAGTTTTGCTATATCGGGAGCACCTTAAAAAATCTGTTATTGAAGCTTTAGGTAGTGGAAATTAAGAAAATGTTTATTAGTTCAGAAACAAACACCACAACTATAAGAATACTACTTAGTTGGAGTAAAGAACTCGGTTATGTCAGTTTGCCTTGTAGATGCTTTGTATTTTACGAGGAAGCCCCCAGGCTTGTAGTGTGGACATGATGTTGCCCATTAGCATCTGCTGCATTTAGAGCTTCCCTGATTGTCCAAAGCTAACAAGAGTTCACGTCTTGTAGGGGTGGGTTCAGTTTCTTCCTCTGGGCAGCACTTGTTCGGTCCGATGGTCACGTCAGAAACGGCGTCTTTGTTGCCTGACTTCCGATGAAGACCAACGCAGTTCCCCTCCCTCAAACGTTCTTACCACCAGTTTCATGCCTCGGAGTCTTTTTCTCTCGTAACAAGTCCATTGACTTGTTACCATTTACAGGCACGCTCTGCAAACGTGCCGTTTGCAGAGCGTGCTTGTCAAAGCAGTGCTGCGTCAACATTCTCATTTTGGAGCTTTTTGTAGCTTCCACTGCTTCCATCATTCTTTACGTCTTCAGTACACTTCGCATTTTACACTTGGGCCAAGACTGTTGCTTCAGGAACGCTGAATTCATCTGCAATTTGCTTTTTCGTCCGGTTGTTACTTGCTTTTTGAATGAGCGTAGTTACTTGCAATGTGGATCAGTCGTATATGCGCAGTTCAGGCCCTAACACCCCAAAAAAGTACCTTACCATACCTTCTCGGTTTCGTTAGGCCCAGTGTTTTGACGTGGCAGACGATTGTGGGCCCCCAAGAATGGAAACAATTGCGAGTGACCGCAGCACCACCTGACGCTTCCTAAGAAAACCGTCATTGTACAACGTGGCAGAGTAGCCTGTAGCTCTTCGGTAGTTAATGCAGACTTTCAGAGTTTCTAGGAACCAATCTCTCCGAGAAGGTATGCTGTTGCGAGGATATAACACTTCATCGGTACCGCCGTGTTTTACTATAACCGGTGTTAGAGTTCTGACGGTTTGCTAAATCAGAATTTTGAATTATAGAGGAAATGGGAACTTAGTCGGGACCGGTGTTTCTTTTACTATAAGCTGAGGTTTTACTGCAACTAATTTTCTTTCGGAGCTATACTAATTTACCCCTCAGTGTGGGTAAAAATTGGGCTCTTGATTTTGAAAAATAATACAGCTGCTGGCAATGGTAGTGGTCTAAGCTTAGGTTGTTACTGGCTGGTAAGGCATTTGCCCTCACTGGTTAAGTGTCTGGCGCTCGGCACTTCAGAATGTATGTAACACAGAGGTATTTTGCAGCGTCAGATGCTTGGTGGGCGTGCAGCCGTGACGATCAGCCATGTAAGGCCAACCATTCCGACTAGATGTCGGCGTCTGACATTAAGCCGATGTGTTGCCGTCATTTTTTGCAGGCGTGAGCTACGTTACCGCTTTACCTCAGGCACAGGCTGCCGTCGTTTACCCAACCCAAACCGTCATGGCCGCTGCCCCTTCCACAATGGCGCAGCTTCAGCCGCAAATTCAGCTTCAGCAGCACCAGTTGCAGCAGCAGCAACTACAGCAGCACCATCTCCAGCAGCAACAATTGCAGCAACAACAACTGCAGCAACAGCAGTTGCAGCAGCAGGTTCAGCAGCACATTCAGCAACAAGTTCAGCAGCAAGTCCAGCAGCAGGTCCAACAACATGTGCAACAACAGCAACAGCTTCAGCAGCAGCAACAGCAACAACAGCTTCAGCAGCAGCAGCAGCTTCAGCAGCACATTCAGCAGCAGGTGCAGCAGCAGGTTCAGCAGCAGGTCCAGCAACAAGTTCAGCAGTTGCAGTCGCAAAGCCAGCAGCTTCAGCAGCAACAGCAACAACCTCAGCAACTTGCAGCGGGGGTGCAGCCGTATCAGGTATGGCAATGTTTTCTCGAGCGAGGATTAGTCTTTGAAGACTAAGGTGGTGCTGTGTTGACTTGATTGCTGCTCGAAGGATCATAAGATCATATGCTGTCTTTGTTTTGTGCATTATTTTGCGAACATCGGAGTGTAGCATTATGAAGTAGTCCTTTTCTAACAAGGTGTTCTCATATGGAGTTTGTGACTGCCATATGAAAGAGTGACATTTTGGAAACTATGTTGTAGGGCCTAAAAATTAATGGGATAAATTTATAGGGATGTGCGAATAATGATTTTTTGCTTCGAAGCGAATTGTTCCTTTGTTAAAATAATTTTGAATGGAACCTAACAATTTCAAAGCAAAGCGAATAGTTTGTGGTCATCAATACAATCATAAAAATAACCCCTTCTAATAAGAAGGAAAACCCCCCAAAAAAACAAGGTCTAAAGAGGTTTCTACCATGATCATTCACCAACTTGCCTGTACAATTACTCTTATTTCAATACAGTCATGTCTCATTAGTACAGACACTTACGTTGCCCTGATTATTTGTTTACAATGGGAATCATCCATAATAGTCAATGAAGGTCCAAGATCACAAATAACGAACAAGAAGCGTGGCCGCAAAAGAGACAGCTTGTTTAGGAAAACAAAATGCCGAGACTCGTTGCACAAAAACTCAATCCGCAATAGATTCAAGAGACTAGACTTGTTGCTCCTATTTTTATTGCTACTTTTTGTTGCCTTGGTTGGTGAATTAATTTTGACTATATACTGTTTTTGTTTGTATTTTAGTCTGAATTAAGGTATGTTTTGCACCACTTCAAACTTCGAAAATATTCAATGTTGCCAAATAGCCTTGTTTGATTTGAACCTTGAACCGATTATGGCATTATTGGTCTCAATATTTGAAAGTTTTGAATATTCACACAACCCTATAAATTTATACTATACAATAAGGCTGGGCCAATCTTTTTGAACAAGTCGAGCCATTTCAGAGGCTGCCTCGCTGCTGGCACAAAGTGGTGTAGCTTGACATGTTCACCGTGGCACTGTGCATGGTTATGAACTCTAAACTCCATACAAAATAATGCGGCTAAACCAGGTGAACTAGGCCACTGAACATGGCAGAAGGGCATGCGCGTGCCAGAAAGAGATGCAATGATGAGTGAGCCATTTCAAAAAGCCTCTATTCATTCCAAGCCTAGTTGAAAATACCACCTGCCCAGGCAAGAACAGGGGTGAAGTGCAACATAGGGGCACAAAGGGGAAGGTGAAAAAGCAAAAAAAGAAAAAGTTGCCCAACATGTCGGCCATGTCGAACAGCAGCTTTAGGGCGTAACGACAACAAACAAGAAATTCATACTTATATCCTTATGGGTGTCTAACGGGGCTGACATTCTTGAAGGTATTGATTGGGAAAACATTTTAGTTAAGAGCGAATAGACTAGGCTTTGCTGTACTCACTGCTTACGCGAGTTTTCTGCTCCTGGAGGACGACTTCCGTGCGACGCTGGACTGGGCTGCTTCGTTTCTAGATAGCATGTTGTGCCGTCGCTGAGATTTTTTGTAAAATGGTAGAAGCAAAGAGAGTTCTTGAAGCTGCCTTCGCTGGAACCTTTTACATTGATTGTGTGAAAGTTGTGGAATGATGTTATTGCAATCACAGGGGGAATGGTGCCGTCCGAATGCTGCTGCGCTGTCTTCTCCTTCGCTCCATTGTCGAGCTTGGAGCTTCAGAAGCTGCATTTAGCAAAAACATCTAAATGTTGTTCAGTATCTTTTTTTTTTTTTTTTTTAGAGGGTACAAGTAAGTGGAACTTTCAGATTTGTCTTGGATGTCTTGGTGACATTGGTACACAAGAAAAACAGTTGGTCAGCATTTACTCGATTCCGTCGGCGGGCATGGCATGAAATGTATAGTTTCAACAATCTAGTTTCACGCAAGAGCATGGGAGAAGGTAGTGCTATTGTTCTTGCTTGTCTTTGGGTTGTTTCTGTTGTTCTCTTGATATGGATTTCTGCAACATTGCACTCAGCATATGCTTCGTCGATTGGCACACTGTTTGTCGAAGACAGCAAGGGTAACCTCAGTTTCCGATATCATTGCACCAATTGCCGATGCCACTACCGATCGTTTGAAGAGGTGTCCTTCCTTCGAGACAACTGGCCACATTTCGAACACGTGTTTGGCTGCTCTGCGGAAGGGATGGCCTCGCTTGCAGATTTGCAAGACTGGATTGGAACGGCGACACAGTGATGATTCTCTCTCCATTTGCATTATCTAGATTGAAAGGGCAAGATGTGGAGATGCAAGTCATGCCAGTTTCTGTGGCACCAGTGTATTTTGATGGAGATTTTGTGTTTCGCGTGTCTGACTTTGTTCTGAAGACTGGCAGGCTACTGATGTCTTGTGAGTGGTGCCACTGTGTTTCTTTTTGAGCGCTTTATCTTTATATGCTGGCTAAACTTAGGAGTTGATGTAAAAGAGTGCACCTATGCTTTCTTTTTTTTTTTATAAAACAAGAGCTGATGATTGATGGTAATTGTATCATGCTTTCGTTCGTGGTACTGTCATAGAGCCCCGGTTCTTATATGAGGGGGTCGCAGACCCCTTTGGGGTCTGTGAAGGCGTTTTTGGTGCTCGCGATGCCCTCAGTCGAGAATGAAACCTAGTATAAGTTGTTTTTTTACAGTGGTGGTAGTTAATGCCACTTTCCGGCGAAATCTGGCGGTGTGCGTTCACAAAAACCCACATGATTGTGAAGAGAGGGGGATAGTGCTGCTCTGCTTTTGACTGCCCCCATCGCAGTCGTCCGTCGCACAACCACGCTATTTATGACAAGATACAATATTGCCCTTTCTTTGACGCTGGCGCTGATTTGGGTTCTGAAAGATTCTCCGGCGCATACACACAAAAAAAAAAAGAAGAGGCATGACTCCGGTAGTGGTTCTAACCGGAAACGACGGGTGACAAAGGTGACAAGAGACAAATGTGCGCGTTTGTCCCTCATCCCCTTTGTCGTCTGACGTCTCCGGCTTAGATCATCTGTCGATCCAGGTGTTTGCAGTTGCCGACTGATTTTTCGGATTTCGCGGGGCGCAAAAAACACCCGAATAAAAGAGCAGTTCGAAAAATCGGCTGATGAATAAACTTGTCTTCATTACGTCTAAGTGGGTAAAAAAAGCACAAGTTGTTATGAATGCGCGCCTTGTTTCAGGTTACGCCTCCATTTGCGTTTGGCAACTTTTTGTTAGCTTGAGAATTGCTGCATTCTTTTGTAGCGTCATGGTAGAGTACTTTTTGCTCTTCTTACCGACACATTGCTGTGGTGGAAGAACAAAGGGGGCAATGACGTCCAAGCCAGTGTAGTCCGAAAACACGATTCACCGAAACAAGATTGAGACGAGAGGCGCAGGTCCACGACTGCAATGGCGAATGAACGAGGCACAAAGCAAAATGGTAACAACAATGATGATGATAATGACGTGCAGCTAGAGAGAAAAAAAGGCCGTACAGCGTCACCTAGCGGTAGGACTTAGCAGTACTCAAGCAGCACTGCCAGACCAAGCCAATCTATGTGCAGTTAACATAGAATCCAAAATGGCCGCTTCTCGGCGGTGTTTCCCGCTGATCGCTCGCGATGACTTTGTTAGAAAAGTCTAACTTTCAAACCTCGAGCTGTCCAAAACATTGGTCGTGAATATGCACTATTTCTATCAGGTAGATCACGGTTCCTCCTTTAGGTTCGAAATGTCCAACAGGTCTGAATTATTGGTGTCCGAAAAATCTGTCGGCGGTCGGCGGCTGTATTTCAGAGTGGTCCAACGAATCTCTCGGCGCACGTTTGGCTCCGAAGCCTTTTGATGGCAAAAATTTAATTGAGGGGCTTGGGGGACACTGCTTTGTACTGGTCAGTTCTTACGGTCGCACCGTTGAAACTCCAGCAAATGAAGAAAGAATTACGTATCAGGTGATTGAAGAACCACTTCTTGCCTGCCATTGACATGGAAGAGTGCCTGCTGAAATAGTTATGTGATCGCCATTAACTTGGCCAAAGTGAAACTGCGCTGAGTCACTGGATGGCACTGAATTTCGAAAAGGGTCTACAGTAAGGACGTTCATTCAAGCCGCTTCGCTGACCTGGCCATGTCGTTTTGTCTTTGTGGCTACTTTTTGTGATGCTCTAGACTTAGAAACGAACCCTAAAACGCAGTGTGTTATAAAGAAAATGCCTAATAGTAATGTGCAATTTACAGACGCTTCCGAAGTGTAGTGCAAGGGCCTGCGTTCCAGAATAGGAATTTCATACCACGGCATTTCGAAACTTGCTCGCGCTGGCTGGATGACAGCGTAACTCGCGTTCCTGAAGCGAGTTGTTCACTCGAATAATTACTTGCTGTACTCTTCGGTGGTGAGTAACGTTGAATGAGGTCAAGTAAATGGCATCAGACTGTTTGTCGCCTGCTTCCTCGACTTGGTACCGTCGCAGGTTGTCATCATTGTTCTTGTTGATACAGTAGAATCTCATTAAATAGAATCTGAGGGGGACCAGAACTTGTTTGAATAATGCAAAGTTTGATTAACCGGGTGTTTTCTTCCTAGAAACTCATAGGACGGGACCTGCATGTTAGTTTGAATTATCCGCGAGTTTGAATTAATGAGATTCCTCTGTAGTAGCTTTTGTATTTCTTTGATTCTACTGACCAAGATGCAGCCAGGGATGCAAGTGGATAATGCTGTTCAAGGGCACATTTGAGCATTTCAAGTAAACCAATTGGGGACATGGTGCACATATTAATGTTAAAAACAAACTGGTTTTAAAGGTCAACAGCACAGACTACGTGCATTTCAAAGCTAGATGTGCTCTCATCTTCGTACTTCCGTCAGATTTTCACGACGCTTGCGGCTTCCTCCGGGCCCGCCTTAGAACAGAGCGGCACCTTGTTGCAGGTGGTGCCACCCCCGCCGCTGCCGTCCACCTTCTCTGCGCCTACCGCATACCCTCACCTGCACCACCAGTACGCCCAGTACAACAAGCGCAAGTATGAGACGCCACCTCCACCCCTGCCAGTGCCACCCGACACCTCGGTGCCACCTCCCATAGCCACCGCGACGCCAGCACCGCTGTCCACCGACACCTCGGTGCCACCACCGGTGGCCGCCGCTGCGACGGCACCCCCGGACACATCGGTGCCACCTCCCATTGCCGCGGCAACATCTGCGGCGACGCCAGATACCTCAGTGCCGCCACCTAGGGTGACGCCGGACACCTCCGTGCCACCGCCTCCGCGCTATGGCACCAACGATGATTGGAGGTGGGTTACCTGTTCTTGCACTCCTGGTCTGAACTGCTTGATGTTCTTGAAGTGCATGCATCTACGAGGCTCTTGCTCGCCCTTGTTGGAGGTCTAAACAAATCCGCCGGCTCGTCACAAGCTTGCGTGCGTCGACCGACATTTGAATGTGCGCCGCTTCCTTTTTTGAAGCCCAAAGGAGACCCTCCAAATTAGCAAAGCCAAAAGGCACACACACCGCATTGTTCTTTACAATTCTTTGAGGGAGCATTCCCGAAAAGTGATCAAGATATGGATCATTGTGCTACTCTGGGGTTGCATCCGGGTTGTCATTCAAATTTGTTTGTTTCTAGTCAATGTTTTACTGTTGAGCTGTTGAGAAATGTATCGTACGACTTCCTGCGTGTAACAGTGACCCGTAATTCGATATGCTCGAACTTTGGGTGCACTCGTTGCTTGAAGATACCGCCTTACATAGTGTAGACGCCGTCAAAGCTACCAATGGCCGCGGCCGCGTCGGGGAGTGTGCGCGGCGTCGATGCCAAAGCGAAGTACGGTTTGCTGCAGGTTCCGGGTTCCACCGCCACCGGTCTCAACCACCATGCCACCCCCGCCGTTGACGAAGGTGCCGTCGACACCGCCGCCGTCGGCGACCGCCCCCTCTGCGTCTTCGCCGCCCGGGCAGAGCACGGCAGCGTCCGGCGCCGCCCAGGGCTCTGCCGGCACCGCGCCACTTTACTACCGTAGCCTGAGGCCGCTTGCCAAGTCCTCCTACCTGAGCAGCTACCAGACTTCCTCGCTGGCGCCTCCGGAGATGGACTACGGCTCACGGAGGGAGGCGGGGACAAGTGGTGCTGCCACCGCTGCAGCGCCCGCCTCCAGCGCCAAGAAGGCGGACTGGGACCTGATGCCGCCGCCGCTGGCCCGGCGGTCGTCGTCGGCCGGAGGGACGAGCGCTGGTAGGACGCCGCTTTTCTCGTTGGTCGTGGGCCTACCTTCGTGTGGACGCGGCGGGTTCCGAAGTGTGGTGCCCGGAATGTGTCTCTGGCTGGTGCGTTTACTACATCCTTAAAAGCGGTCTCGATTTCCGCCGGTCCTGGCGCGGATGCCCGTTCATCCATAGGTCCCTCCCCAGCCGGACGGACGGTCGACGGAAGCCGGAGCAGACGCCGGACAAGACGCCGCGACGACACCGACCCTTGCGTCTGCTTGGCCCTTTTGCCGGCGTCCGACTGCCAGGATTGCGTCGTCCAATGGCACAACACACTGGTGGCCCCCGTGATGCGGTTTGTTGCCACTTCGAGACCACTTCCGGCGCCCGGCCCGGACGGGACAGTAAACGAACCGGTCGAAGACTCCTTCCGGGCACCACACTCTAAGCGAGTGCATTTGTGGGATGCTCTTTGCCTTAACCGTCTTCAGTGCGATTCGATTTTTTTACTTGTCTGTTCACTCAAGTATGGGGTTTCAAACTCAAGGGTGTTTCGTTTCCCTGATGCGAAATTTTGGCTAGGGTCGCGACGGGAGCCTGCCCCTTTGTGTTTTGTCCTGGGAACCAATATATAACTTCTCAATCGATGGCATCGACGGATAGTCGTCAATTTAGTTGCGGCAAGGGGGTGGTGGAGTACGATTGGTTTATTCTCGGTAGACGGTGCCAAGTATTGTTTTATTGGCGAGGATGGTTCTGATTGATGATGATGGCTGGCAAGACTGCTGCGTCAGAAGTCTCGTGTCATGTTGCGAGTTCTGCAGTTGGCAGTCTGCAGCAGGGTTGTTCTCTAGCTGCGTGGAGCTTCCCGCGTCGTTGCGTCGTAGCTCTCAATGTGTGGCTTTTGTAATGGGGACATTCCAAACTCATAAATCTCTGGGGATATGCATCTGGAGAACTTGCTTCACTAACTGTGTGGATTTGTGAAGTGACCTCGACGTTTTGGGGAAGGTATTTGTGAATGCATCTGTTGTGTCATCTTCCAGATTTTCCTCTCTTTCTTATGGTACCCCTATAGACAATTTTATTGGTGGTTCATCTATTTGCAGGGTGGAACGGCTGCGCCATTTTGCGTCAGACGCGTGTCTTCACCATCCTGCGCCATGTGTCTGAAACTGCGCCACAGCCAATACCTCGCGTCATTATGCGCCAGATCGCAAAACGTGCGCCAAAAAACTTTTTATTTTGTCTTGGTTTTGGTTTTATTGAACGATTGGCAACAATGAGCGCGTTTAGCCTGGTCGGCCTTGCAATTCTTTGTTCTGTTTATTCTCTCTGTGTATCCCGAGTCGGAAGCGCGCAAAAAAACTGAAAATTCTAAGCGCTACACCACCTGCGACTGGATTGTTATTCTTCAACCATAAGCGGTTAAGCGAGTCAGCTGAGGTGAGGTTGATTCGTTAAGCGTCAAATTGCCTGAGCCTTTGCGGCCCGGGATCTGGACGTCAGCCAGCTGAAAACAAATGAGCAAAATATTCTTTTTAGTACTTCATCGTTAGAAGTTGGAACCACATTCTCGAAAGATAAATCGTGATTTGATCAAAGTGAAACACGGTCCGATCCAAAACCTTGCCGGCCAGCAGCTCTTACATGAGGGGTAGATCTACTCGGCATACATTAACCTTGCTCCTGCTTATCGCTTCAAATACGATAACATTGTTAATCGTAATCTGCTGCTTTGACATAGAGTTGCACAATAGGATAAACTCAAAATTTGTTCCCTGTGCTACTGCACGTCCGTTGCTTACTCACGTCACGTTGTCCGCACGCATAATTGGGGTTACTACGGTTGATCGAATGCCATTTCATCGAAGCACGTTTTAGAGAATGAGCACGTTTCATTGAAGCACGGGTTTACTACAGTTGATAGAATGCCATTTCGTCGAAGCACGTTTTAGAGAATAGGCACGTTTTATCGAAGCACAGTTTAGGAAAAGCAGAGCCTCAGTTTAAAGAAATGCTGTTTATCGAAAAGGGGATGCTATTTAAAAAAGGGTTTTCTACTTCGTGCGTGTATCACTGGTGCGCGTGTTAACCCAAACCCCCCGCTGCGCTCCCACCGCTTTGTGATGGCAGTCTGCGGCGGCTCATTACAAAAATGTTAACTCGCCTGATTTACCCGTTCATGCCGCTTCGCGGTGGCCAAATTCGCTAAAAGGAGGCTCATTGCCATTTTCTCTAAACTGGTTTCTCTATAAAGACATCCGATAAACCGGATTCAGTAAAACGGCGTTCGCTAAAACGAGCTTTTCTAAACCGCATGACTCCGTTTCCCATCTACCTAGGTCCCTAACCACTCGTGTTCATCTGTACTGCTGAGTACGACTGAAATTGCTCCCATGCTCGTCTAAGACACAAGCTGAAGTGCAATGAAAACTAATCTGAGCTGCTCCTAGCCTGCTCCAGAACGTAGTTTCAGCTGCTCCCAACCTGCTCCAAAACAGCTGTTTCAGCTGCTCCCGTGGCTGCTCCCAAGTACATTTCACGAGTTCCACCCCTGATTTGGTTCTTTTTCAGATCCATAGTGGGCAAATTTTGATGCCTATTTTCATTTTGATCAACTAGTAGTTTTTTTTTATTTGTGAAAGAGCAAAAATTAGTGTCATCAGATAAAAGGTTTGATGAGCTGCTACTGGGGAGATTTAAACGGCCAAAGTTTTAAGACCCCTGGGAAGGCTATACATGGTGCCTGGCAAATACAGACATTTTTGTCTCGTTATTATAAACATAAGTACCCTCCCAGCTTAAAAAAGAAGGGTCCCAAAAACTCCCCTGAGATATCACTGAACCTAAGAACTCAGTTTTCACCCGGATGTTTGTTGCAGGTGTTCCGATGAGAGCTACGCACAAGAATATGTTTTTGTTTTGTCTTTTACGTAAAATCGGTCATTACCACTGGCAGTTTGTTGCTTGAGATCATGTATGACCTTCAAATGGGAACAGAGCAGAACAAACCCTAAAGCAGCTAGCACTGTGGACGTTGTCACTGTTTGGGGAACTGGAGAGAAGCTCTGGATCCGCTAAGCTAATTTCCGCTATACTCCATTTCACCGTAACTCTGCAAAGGCTGTGGTCCGAGCGAGCCAATCAGCATGTTGGAGAGACACGTGACCCACTAGGTGCGTGCAGTGCTGTCAAAGGCTCAGGCAGGAGAGAGTAGAATGCTGCTTTTGTACAAATTCGGAGTGACAGCCTCTGGGGTGATAAAGCAATGTCCGGGACAGACCAAAGAAGGTCCAAACACGAGTTCCTCTTTTCCCCCTTCTTCAGTGGTTAAGCGAAAGCCACCTATGCCCTCACACTTTTAGTGCAGAGCTGTGTATAGAGAGAGTTTGGTCAATGGAAGGAGCGGGCAGAGCCTGGGCGTGCACCAGACGCAGTTAGAAGGCTTGGCATGCTCTCTTGGTCAGCCATAAGCCGAAAAGAATCCCCTAGCGGTGGTAGCGAGAAACAGTTCTAATAAGAGCGTAAGGGTTATGTAGTAACTCATTATTAGAGCCCTGCGCGGATAACAGTTTGATTATCCGCACCCGATCTGCATCCGCAGACTTTCTATCCGCATCCGAACCGCATCCGCAAACTTTTTACATTATTGTATCCGGACCGCATCCGCAAAATGTGGAACCAGATCCGACTCACAATCCCGGCATTCATTGTATATTATAACATCAAGCAAGAATGAAGAAAAAAAAATACAAATAGCACTTTTTAAGTTGTTTGCTTATCTTTGTACAAAGAAATCTGGGTCACCATTCAAAGGGGATGTCATTTTATCATCAGTTTCATCGTATTTATATTAAAAGCGATCAGTTCTCCCGAGACACTGCGCGTCGAAGGAAAAATTATTTGAGTTATGTGATTGTCTTAGGAGTCCGCGACACTGCCCAGAAGAAGTGCACAAAAAGGATGTTGAGGCACTTTTTTTTGTTTTTGGAACCGTTGCAACACTACTCTTTGTGGAGAGGGGGAAGTTTCTTCTACTTTCTTGTGACTTGTATGTTCGAGGTTTTCTTTGCTTGGAGAAAGTTCCAGCTCTTCCCCTGCCAATGTACTAGCTTTTTCCGGGACGATTGATGCCCTGCAATCTTTACTTTTTCTATAGATAGCATTTTTGACGAGAGGCAACGCTCTAAGTGAAGCGATCTTCAGTAAGGATCAGATCTTTCTTAGGATCCCTATTGTTTCTTCGAAACGCGTTTTGTGGAAATACGTTTCGTGGACAACTTTTCATGGATATACATTTCATGGACACACGGTTTGTCGACGCTGTACGTTTTGTGGGCTCATGCCCCTGCGACGTTTTGTTGACAACGCATTTCACTAAGCCACTAAAAGTTAAAGCATGATTCACTAAGGTGAGCTTAACCAAACCGCCCCCCTCCCCCCTGTAATCTAGGCGAGACACAAAACGCTTGTTACGAAAATAGCAGGGTTGTGTGCAACGAAACGTCTCAGGTTTTTCGATGAAACAAACACTAGAAGCCTTTCGATCAAACGTCGCATGTCGACGAAACAATCTGTAGATGAAACGTCAGTCGACGAACTGAATGCCACTGGGTAAAAATTTAGATCCGGATCCGCGAATATGAGCATCCCTGACATCCGATCCACAATCCGCCAAAATTTGTCCAATTTTTATCCGCATCCGCTCGTTTACTGCGGATATCCATGGATAATCCGCGGATATGCAGGGCTCTACTCATTATGGTTGAAAATTTTGTGCACGTGATGTTTTGATTGTGATCATGCAAAAAGATGTAAGAAACTGATGTGCCACTCAAACTCTGTTTTGCGCGGACAGAGTGTGACCGCTCGGACGGCAGATTCTCGACCCTCAGTGCCTGGCGTATGAATTATGTTGATCTTTCCGCTGGACGCACTCTTCCACCATTATTTTGGATGACCGTGATTGAAACATCCATACATGTTGTTTTACCATACGATCAGTTTAGGATGGAACCTTTACTTACGCCTCTCAGACCAAATAATATTAATTTTTACTAAATGTATAAATGCCATTTAGCGGTGTAGGAGCAAGATTCTTGTGAACCCGGAAGTAATTTTCAAACTGCTAAAAATTGACAGATACACTATTGTCTTTGTTAGGGGATGTTGAGCCAAGTATGGTTGGTGTACACTGCATTGAAAGATTAGCTGAAGCTGTGCTGATCATTCTTAGCAAAGGTAAGCTTGTGCACCACATAGGCATGAAACTGTTTCAAGTCATTTTATAGCGATTTGGTTGATAAAACAGGAGTGGGTATGGTTAAAATTCAAGTTTCATTCACAACAGGTCTTGAGGTTTTGGAATTTTCCCCATCTAAGTATTTGGACGAGTTTTTCTTTTTTTTTTTCTTAAATAATAATTATACTGGGTGGTGAATTCTAGTCCGGCCAAATGCTGCAGATGTGTTGTTAATGCCATACGCTTACAGGTACCCCCTTTCTCCATCTCCGAGCGGACGGTTTAGCTCATCGACCCGCAACAAGAGTACAGGAGGAATTACGGCTGCGGTGTCTGTTTTTCTTTCAGAAGTTTTGGGGGTAGATGCTCTGGCCAAGAAAGCATTGACTTTTTGCAGTTACCGTTTCGTCGTAGCTTTTGAAGGTGTTGCGAACACCTTCATTTCAAGTGCTTTGTGCCCCGCCTTTCGTCTGTGCCTGACGTTCTCTTGTCTGCTGAGGAGGGGGTGGATTGTGCTCAGACTTTCTTCCTCAGGTTTTGCCACAGAACATGGCAGACGGGCAGTCGGTCTGAGGCTACACAGTCGTAGCATTTTCACCCTATCACTATCTCTATTGAGATCTGTCGGTGTAATGTATGTTTGATGAGTCTGACATCTCTAGTTTTGAGGGGTGTGTTGGGTGCAGTTGAACCATATTTGGAGTGTGTGGTCTTGACAGTTAATGAAATGAAATACATACAATGAGTTGAGTTTGAGTTGTCTAAATGGTCTTCCTGCATTCAGTGCTCTCAATGCAGTTTGTGATGCAGCTCAGTGGTTAACTCTTTTTTTTCTCTCTTTTTTTCTTTTCAATTTCTTTCTCTTTCATGTGTGCGGTCCTTCAATCAACGGCACTTCATGTCATCCGGCGGACTGGGACTTTTCCAACGGACCGTTGATGCGGCTAAAAAAAAATATGGACGAACGGAACCTCGGCATATTCATGAACCGGGCTTCTCCACTAACATAATTTGTTTCCTCTTCGGACATGCACTGCGTGGTCTGCCGATCCAAACTGAACCTCCGTTCACAAACATGCACACATCCCCAAAAATATCTCTGGTGCAAAAAAACATTTGCAATGTCTTTGAACATTCTCAATCACACAATGACCTGTGCCTTCGTATGCCTCGTTCTGATTCAACATTTTTTTTACTTTGGTGGCCTTGATTTGTTTGTTGTCTCGGTGTGTTTGGTGTCTTGGTTTGTGTGGGGGAGCGTAGCAGCAAGCTATCCTGCATTGAAGAGGCCCCTGGAATCTTCTAGCACGTCAAGCACCAGCGTTGACTGGAAGAGACCAAGAGGAGCCCTCTGAGGTAGGCACTGATCAGCCGTTCTTCGAGAGATGATCGATATGGAAGCTTTAGCACTCTGGGTCACTGGCAACATTTGGTTTGGGTGTAGTGATGCTGTACAGGGAACTCGACTGTTTTCAGAGCAACTTCTTTGCTTTGATGCAGTAATAATTTTGAATTAAAGAGGACGCTGTTAGTTTATGAGACTTGTAAATACCAGAACTTGTTTTTTTAGGCCAGTTTGCACCTACATATTAGCTCTAAATCGCCATTGGGTACTGCGCTGACTTGAATGTAACTCACCACTGATGCAGTGTTGTATCGCTTTAATATGTGCCAGGCCAGTGCTGCTTCCAGTGCTAAGGTAGTGTTGTAGTGTTTGTCATTGGGCCCATGTTATACAGCAACAGCCGACATGTTATTAAGAGACTATAAATACTTGTGTAGGTTCATGCCTTTGCCTTGTGGCACTCGTGTGTTTGTTAGAGGTAATGGCAGTTGAAAATTTCATTGTGAATGAAGACATTTTATTGAGGAACCTTCGTGGTGTTTACTTTGGGGAGTTCTTAACCGTAAATTGTTGACTCTTCGCAGTTTCTCGTACACATTTTTTGGACGGGTATGTGGAAACGTTCCCGTCCAGTTTGGTTTGATCATTGTGCCAGCTTGAGTCGTGTGAAAAGGCTCGCCTCCAAATGCCGCTTCGTCTAGCTTGCCTTCGTGTGAAATAGAAATGAGAGTTTCATAGCTTTGGGTGCCTTATCTCTGGATCTCTTCCTGGTTATGTTATGCTTAACAGAACTGGACGCTGAAGGATCGTCATCAAGACAAGGGACGCCGATGGATTGTGTGGTTGGTGGTGTGGTGAAAAGGACGCCCTGGGGTTTGGGGGATCTGCTTAAAATGTCTACCAAGCTTTTTTGAGATCTTGTCTACATATTTATATAGTAATGTACGTATGTGAACTAGGGTGACCACCCTCCTGCTAGCGAAATGCGGGAGACGAGGGGGGGGGGGGGGGGGATTTATGAACTCGCCATGAACCGAGGCTTTGTTTGCACATTTAATATCCTGTGCTGCTTATACACCTGAAAGTTGTATTGCAGCAATTAAGCTAAAATAATTTTCACTCCCAGTGATGTTATATTTTTATGCCAATTATGTTTTAATGTGTCGAAGCCGAAAGCATAAAAATCAACAGCAGCAGAACTCAATGCATTAAATGAAATGAAGAAACTAAATCTTTTTTGGGTTATTGTTTCCTATCAACGCCTAATTTTATCAACATGATCCTACACAAATTTTTAACGTGATGTTCTTTTTCAACCGTTCCGAGTTGCCGGCTTTTTGCATTGTGTTGCTGTCTTGGAAAAAAAAAAGGATTTGAAAGGGATTAAATTTTTATATTTAAACTTTTGGCGAGCAATTTTTCTTACAATATTTTTCCGCCAAGGGGAGAGGCACAAAAGAGCATGCGCGTCGGTTCTCCTGCAGGAACGATGGTCGCTTCCCACAATTGGATGGAAAATGCCGTACCATTGAGATTCACACAATTACTAGCGACCTCCGCACTTTGCCTTGCCATGTTGTTTGGCAGCACCACGAGTTGGAATGAATTTTATGACAGTATGAAATGCGAAACAATTTGAGGTTTCGAAAATTTTTTGCGGGATGTGAGCTTTCAATGCGGGACAGTCCCGCGAGTCGCAGGACGGGTGGTCACCCTAATATGAACTGTGGAGGGTCGTGTGCTGTCACATTGGGGCAGTGACCATAAATGTTGTCCCGTCAAACACCACCTTATTTGGTGTAGGGCATGTGTGCCTGGGTTAGGTCCTTCCATGAGCACTTACAATGGGGGAGTTTGCCTGAACACTTTCACCATCTACATTATGTACAAAGTTCTTTGTGAATAAAAAATCAACTTGTAGAAGATACTAGCTGCTACAGGCTTGCATTGTTCATTGTTTTCATTCTTGTCGGCACAAATTTGCTCCATGTTTAAAGGCTTCAGTTTAAAACTGAAGGATTTTTTTATTATTAAATGTTCTATAACATTGGCTTTTTGAAAGGGGCAACAGTAACTGCAGAGGGTATTTTCATTTGTGACTGGTAAAAGTTGCCGTAAAATGGCTATTAGAAACACCGCAAGTCTGTTGGTGCTCCTAACAACCTTGCTGGGGTGTTATATACATTGAACTGAAATTGCTCTGTAAGAATAACCATTGAATTCAGAAGCGGGATTTTATTATCCCAGCAGAAGCTTGCGGAGGATTGTCAGTTTCCGAAATGTTTCTGCAACTTGGGGTCTTCTGGACGCTTGATGCCTGCAGCAGATGTAAGCAAGTGTAATGATAGAAGAATGTCGTCTCTATCAATTTAAATTGTTTTAAATAATTACATAAGCAAGCAAAGAGTGCTAAAAAATGCAGGGGGACAGACGAAGGGAAACAGGACAAGGCGCACTTTCAGCTGGGTGATTCCACGTCGGTTCATGCAATGATGGTCCGGGTCATAATTTAGATATTTTTGTTAAAAATATATATGAAAGCCATGTTCTTGGGAGGAACACTCGGCTAGATTTGAACGCTGTAACAATTTTTTTTCGCTGAGATATAAAATAGAGAAGCTTGAGGCGTGGAAATTGAGATTTCACAATGCTACTTTGCACAGTCGTCTTTTCCTTGTCGAACCTTTCACGGCACCATAACTTTTTTAATAGGTTCTACAAAAGTTATACAACACATACACAAACAATTAAAAATACCCATAAAATATTTCTATGCCAACAAAAATATCAAACATGGCACAAAAACGCGTTTTAGAGACATTCACAATTTTTTTGAAAATAAACCATCTTTCATAATACTTTACAAAACATCAAAATGCGCGTATTTAAATATTCTTTACGAATATATAAAGACAATATGCCCACCCTTAAATATCTTTTTGTTATCAACGCGGAAATGCGTCTGATTTCTCAAAATGTGGCAAGATTGGGCGTCGATATTTAAAAAACTCCATTCTTTTATTTTCTTTAAATTCACCTTGGCACTTTGCAGTGACTTGAACTAACCTGTGATGGCAAAAGATTGAGTAACATATGACCTTTGAGCGGGAAAAGCTACGACAAACCTTCACTCGGAGCGAGCCGACGTCTTCGTCATAGCGGCTTTGCCGCACAGCACCAAACGTTTTGAGCGTTAGTTATGACATGTATTTTATATTATTAAAATTCTTTTTTTATAAGCGGTGAGTATTAGTGACGTGAAAAGGAACTTTGAGCTGGAATACCATTAATTAGCTTAGAATTCACAGGAATAAAACGGCCCCACTCTGCAAATTCGCTACCTATGCATCATACATAAGCTTAAAACTCAGTTGCGCGAATGGCCATGTATACATCTGGCTTCTCGGCATATGATGACTTTTACAGATGAGTTGCCTGGATTCCTTTGACAGGTTTTACGGTGGTCCGCTTTGCTTGCTTCACCGCACGAAACTCGAACTCGAAGACAGTTGTGAGCACTGCGCAGAGTGGTTTGACGCGTTTTGCGAAACGCGGAAGGCATGTAGTTCCCACCAGGAACGCAAGCGATTGTACGTGCTTCTGCCACCAATCATCCCGAAGAAAAAAATATTGCGTCTGGTGTCGGAAGCGACTGCCTACATGATTGATCAAACATGAAAACTGAAGCGCAAAGGTGGTGTTTGAGCAACCCCTGATCCCTACATGGGGAAAAAGGCGAATGCCGAAGACGTGAGGGTTGCAATTGAGTACTACACACGCGACGACCTCGCATGCTCTGTTCAAAGCCCCAACAAAAAGGACGTCGTCAAAGCCATGATCAACGACATGTCCAAAGTCGTAAAAAGGTTTTATGACCCGCTCTATTAAGGAGGCTTACCAGCTGTTTAGAAAGGACCATCCCCATCCCGAACTAGGCATCTCCAAATTTTATTCTCTACGACCAAAATGGGTAAAAAAAAAAAGTCCCGAGCACGTGGTGTGCGCATGCATATATTGCGTCAATTTTCAGTTGCTTTTAACGGCAATAAAAAATGCCCCAAAGAAGACATTTACTGAAGACGATCTCAAGCGCATCTACCTCTGCTGCGCTCCTCAGAACGATTGCTTTCTGCGCCGTTGCGAAAAGTGCCCAAAAACGCAGAGCATCTCGCTGCAGTCGCTTCATCTCGACGAAGACGTAGAGATCTGTTTGGCGTTATGGGACGCTGGCGAACTCGTCAATAAGGTTATGGACGCTTCTGCCTTCCTGCGGCAATAGGAGAGCGAAAAGTATATGAGGCATTACATCCTTGACCTTGAACGAAGCCTGATACATGACACAAGAACCGCCTTACCACCCAAGGCAGTGATGTTCCACTTCGATTTTGCGGAAAAATGGACAGTACTCTTTCCAACCGAAGTGCAGAGTTTTCATTGAAAAAAATCTCAAGTGTCTCTCTACACAAGTGTGGTTACGTCCACGCAAGGCACGCAAAGCTTTGCCGTTGTCACCGATGGTACACGACACATGACACAGCTCACGCTCTTCTAGCCACATAGGCCATAGACGAGTATGTTAATGTTCATTTCCCAATCTTTTCTGAAATAATTTTTGTATCGGACGGAGCGGCGGCGCATTTCAAGAATCGCTTCCAATTCCACGAATTGTCTCGGAAGCCGCACTCTTCGGCAAGATGGATCTTTTCAGCCACTGGACACGGAGAAAGCGCTTGTGATGAAGTAGGTGGAAGAACCAACGCTCACCAAGTTGAGATCTTCGCTCATCTCAACGATTGCCACCGCTAAAGACTTTGTGGAAGTGCTACGTAAAAAAGTAACAGATGTCTGCATGTTCCACCTGTCTGTGGAACGGGTTCGAGAGTTTCGTGCGGTAAAGCAAGCAGAGTGGACCACCATAAAACCTGTGAGAGGAATCCAGGCTTCTTATCTGTGGAAGTCATCACATGCCGAGAGGCCGGATGTATACATGGCCACTCGCATAACTGAGAGTTTTAAGCTTATCTATGCATAGTTAGCGAATTCGCACAGTGGGGCCGTTTTGTTCCTGTGAATTCTAAGCTAATTAATGGTATTCCAGCCCAAAGTCCATTTTCGCGTCACTAATACTCAGCCCTTATGAAAAAAAGAATTTTAATAATATAAAATACATGCCATAACTAACGCTCAAAACGTTTGGTGCTGTGCGGCAAAGCCGCCTTGACGAAGACGTCGGCTCGCTCCGAGTGAAGGTTTGTCGTATCTTTTCCCGCTTGGAGGTCATATGTTACTCAATCTTTTGCCATCACAGGTTAGTTCAAGTCACTGTAAAGTGCCACGGGGAGTTAAAAAAAATAAAAGATGGAGTTTTTTAAATATCGACGCCCAATCTTGCCACATTTTGAGAAATCGGCCGCATTTCCGCGTTAATAACAAGAAGACAATTAAGGGTGGGCATATAATTTTTACATATCCGTAAAAAATATTTAAATACCCATATTTTGATATGTTTTGTGAAGTATTATGAAAGATGTTTTTTTTTTTGCAAAAAAATTGTGAATATGTCTCTAAAACGCGTTTTTATGCCATGTTTGATATTTTTGTTTGCATAGAAATATTTTGTTGATATTTTTAACTTTTTGTTTATGTGTTGTATAACCTTTGTAAAACTTATTAAAAAAGTTATGGTGCCGTGAAAGGTTCGATAAGGAAATGACGACTGTGCAAAGTAGCATTGTGAAATCTTCTCAATTTCCACGCCTCAAGCTTCTCTATTTTATATCTCAGCGAAAAAAAATTGTTACGGCGTTCATATCTAGCTGAATGTTCCTCCCAAAAACATGGCTTTCATATATATTTTTAACAAAACATATCTAAATTATGACCCGGACCATCATTGCATGAACTGACGTGGAATCACCCAGCTGAAGTTAAAATACACAGTTCTGATCTTTCATTTATTTGTAACATAAGCCTGTATTATGACAAATTGGCCAATTCATTGCAATTTTTAGAAATGCATAGTGTGATTCAAGTTTATTTATTGTGGCCACTTTACATTGGTGTTTGTCACTGCAAAAGACTACTTCCATAAATCCCCGCATGCAACACTGTGCTCCACCCTGGGAAATAGTGTGCCAGGGAGGAGAATGGCATGGTTTTGGTTTCAGTCGACAGGTCGAGAAGGTATGCACAGCGTGGATTATAAGCAGCCGTTATCTCGCGTTTCCTCGTCCCGAACGCATTGTTTTTGGTCTCTAATAAACTAACCCAAATGGCTCATTTTTCTACTCGAGCCTTTCTGTTTTTGTGTTTCGAGGTATGTGGACGAGCCAGTGCTGGGAATCTCGACAAGTCAACACGCTGTAACAACCCACAAGTTTGCGTACACCGAGCTCGTGCCTTTAGTTGCTGGTCAGCAAGTGTGTTACTTGTTTTGTGCGTCCATTGATGAAATTACCTTTTTCAATTACTGTTTTTCTTACTACGAATACGCCCGATTATTCGATGTAAAACTCGGAGATACCGTTGAAAAGCTAAAATCGAACACCTCTTAACCCTTTATAGCTATACTGACCCGCAGCAGTGCACGAAGTGAAATCCCTACCCACTTTCATTCGACGAGTTCAATATCGCATGAAGCTATCCTGCAATAAAAGGGGCACATCCACTCGTACAGACAGTTTCTAAGAAAGCAACAGTCAAGCACTTGTGTGAGAAGGATGTCTTTCTGCTCGCCGGACTGCACGTGCACGCCGTGAACGCCTATGCGGTGCGCCAAATTAACTAAAGGAGCGCATTCGGTGGTTGCTAATATCCATACGATTTGTTATCTGTTTTCTTTTTTCCTGACTGAGTATGCCGAGATAATTTCAGAATCACCGTCCAGAAACAGATCTTGGGCGTCGGTAAAGGATCTCC